CCGTGCACCGAAGGAAACAGCTGCCTAATGATCTTCATTACGAACTCTTAAGGGTCCAAAGAGGAAGCATTTCATGAAAATTAGAAATATTTTAATACAAAATCTCTTATACTTCCCTCCCCCCCCCCACATTCGAAAAATGAGTAAAGGTGGATTTAGAAATGCTGTTGAGAATTTAGCTTTCTTTGCCTTCAGTGTGAATAAGAAAGTACCAAGCGATTCTTTTGTCAGATTACCATCAGTTTGAGAAGTTATACTTGTCCAACTGGCCCACTGGAACTTGGCTTAACTAACTAACAGATGGCTTAACTCATCGAGAGGAAATTGATGAACTCTGGGATACACATGAACCTGTGCCTCATCTGGAGGGAAAATAAAAGAGACAAAACAAAATAAAATGACCTCAGCCTCCATGGTGATTAAAATCAACTCAAGAATTGAAAGTCTTTTAAATTCCATAGAAATACATCAACCTTCAATCCCATGCTGCAATAATCATGTACAGGAAACGCTGCTATATATACTGTATATTCCTCTCCATCATACACATTCCTCTTGAATATTCATTGCAAATTCCCTTTAATAGGGCTGCAGGTTCCAGTACTAGTCACGTCAATTACAGAGCAGTTTGGGCATCATGATACCTTCATGGCCTGGAGTACAGACATCAACCAAAGGTTTCTTAAGAAATAGCAGCCTAGCACAGTGCACTTGTTGGGTCATGAGAAATATTACCTCTACTCCTGAATCACATCACAGGGTGTCTATGGTGAGCATTCCATTTCCTGCTCTCGATGTTCTTAAGATGAAGGTTAAGTCTACAGTCAGTGGCATGTTAGAGACTAACAGATTATTCCCATATGTCATGCGAGCTCTTCATAGGACTTTTTAAACACAGTATCCCACCTAACAGAGCACAGCTCATATCTACCATGCCTTTAAGAATTAGTATCAGTCAGGCGATAGCCAAATGAAGGCTGAACCACACTGGAGTTCATGTGAACTCCTTCCTATTTCTGTCACGTAAACAGAACTTTACGCTTTTCCTGATCTTCTTACTGTAAATGCTATAAATCTCCAGGCAAGCAAATGAAGCAGCATGATCTTCTGCCGTATCCCTATTTTGCTCACAAATGAATTATGGGCAGGATTTGAATGAGTTGATATACAGTGTATGGATGGTTATAAGCCAGACTCCTCTGCAGCAGCCCATGAACTTTTAAAACTCATTTCACTTCTGATAGTGTAGAATGTTCGCATCTGCTGGAACTGTAAACTTTGTTGAAAGGATTTAGTTTAAGAAATGGAGTAGGCAAGTTAGTCACTTTTACAGTTAACCTCAACCTTGTGGTTTTCAGCTACAACACAATTGGATTGAAAATTCAAGGTCACATTAAGATTAAACTGTAGGTAAATCTGTGGCAATGCTGAATTTAGTATTTCCCGGGGTTTCTAAAGTTTCTTAAATTGAGTGAAAAATACCGTTCAAGAAATTTGGATTTTATCTTTTTTTAAAAAAAATTGGGAAAGATTTACTGGGGCCTTTAGGGATTGAAAATCAAATAACTTACTATGAAATACAATCTGAAGTCATTCTAAAGACTTTAGGCATTGGACATTCTAGCAAATGTGCATTTTTTTCCCCCTGTGAGCTTCAGGTGTCTCTATTCATTCTGACCCCCATCTGAACTACTACAAACAAGGTTAAAAGAAAACAGTATCATGTAAGAGTTCTGCTGATTTAATGATAGCCTTAACCTTTGACTTGCAAATTTGAGAGAATACTGCACATGAAGCCAATTGATATTCACTGGGATAAAGCTGTACTTTGTGACCAGTTCATGTCCTGAAGATGAGTCAGAAATCATAGCCTTCAGGCTATTTGCCTACGCTTTCAATTAGTGGGGATATACTGGAGTAGGAATCGGTTTAGTTAAGTTGCAAAGGGAAGCTTTGAAAAATTAAATCCAATAATAAATAAATTGTACCATCTACCCCAGTACTATTGTTTTAATATAAAACCCTCAGCCATAAATCAATGTATAATCCTTCATAATTTCATCACTCAATGGGTTAATTGCTCCATGACGACTCTAGACATTATTGGTCCATTAAGTTTACCACAGGAAGTGGCCCGCCTGTCTCAGTTTATCTCATTATCCCCAGGATTGGCATGTTGATCTAAGGGTTGGACTCAAAGATCTCAATGCAATTGTCTCTAATTGCTCAAAGGGAATGGCATGTGGTGTTCTTAGCTCTAAAACTAGAATATTGCTTATCTATTGTGTGAGGTTTCCTAACGCTCGTCTCAAATCAGCAACCAATTTTTCCCCTCCAACCTCCCATCTTACCCAACTTCATTCTAGGCTTGAGAGCTCAAGTTCTCTGGTCTCCATTCAGCTCACCTCATACACTGATCATTACTTTCCTCTGCACTCTCTCCAAAGCTTCTATTGACCTTTTTGGAATAGGCGAGCACAATTGATCACAGTATCCAAAGTACTGCAAGTGTGGTCTGAACAGTTCATTTTGAGTCTGTGTAATCCCTGAAAACTTACCCTATCATTCTGCCTATATCTCAGCGTTTATTTTGCTTTTTTGCTTTACAGCGCCTTGGGACGTCCTCCCGACGTGAAAAGCGCTCTATAAATGGAATCTTGTTGTTGTTGCAATTGTTTCATCACATTGCCCATCATTGAAAGCGCCTACTATAACTTGCTTTCTGGGTCTCGCTATGATAGCTTTGTCCCAACAATGGTCTTCTTAGAATGCACCACTGCGGAGCAATGTTCAATCACTCAAATTCATCCTACCATGGTTTGTCCAGTCGCATAGCCGTTCTAAATCTTTCTACAGCTCCTTTGTCTCCACCACTCTCCCTTTTGAAGTGCCATCAGCATTTTCAACAAGCTCGTATGTCCAGATCATTATTGTAGATTAGAAACAGAGGTAGGAGGACTTCAGTACTGCACAGAACATTTTCACATTACTCCCATCATAAGTACTCCACGCTTCCTATTTAATCAACGTCTTGTGCTCTGCCCTGGATTCCTGTGGGGTTTGAGTTTTAATCAGATGGAAATTATTCAAAGCTGCCGAAAAATCCAAGGGAACTACATCATGGCATAACATATGCAGCTTCCCTGAAGAAATCAAGGTTCAAGCAGGAACCTTACGCTCTAAGTCAAGGCTGGCTGTTTCTTATTAAATTAGTGTTGTACAGGTACTTCTCCAGCCAACTCCCCAGAATAGTAATCACCAATATGGAACTGCAGTCAACAAAAGTAATCAAATACTAGGTTTCACCTTGAGGGTATTGACCTTAAATCAAACAAAGTTATTTGGATCCCACAACGAGAACTTGTCAAGCCACATTTGGAATAATGTGAGCTGCTTTGGCCACCTTGTCTTGAAATAAACCAGGAGTTATTGGAAAAGATTTACAGGAAGAGCAACAAGAACGACTTCAGGAGCTTCAAACTTAAAGTTCAAGCTGAGAGAACTGAACTTGCTTTCAATTTTTTTAAAAATGGACGGTACATACACCGACTGCTTAATCCGAATGTTCATGATTCCCAGCATCAGCTTTGCACAGTTTCTGCATCGACCTATCCTCCCTCTGCTCAACATCTACAGGATTAGCACCCAGTAGATGAATTGTTGTCCTATTTAGTTTGGATGACTGTCTACAACAACAACAAGATTCCATTTATAGAGCGCCTTTCACGTCGGGAGGACGTCCCAAGGCGCTGCACAGTTGGGTCTATTGAATTCTCTCCACTAAAACATCCTTCCCTTCACCATTAGCTTCTCCTTTTATCCTACTAAGTTCTCTCTTCTTCAGTAATACTTTGTCTTACATCTTTTGGATCTGAGCACTGTCAGGTAATCAGATTTTACTACAATCCGTACTGAACTCCAGCATTCTCTCTAACTACAATGAAAGTTCACCAAATGTGAACTACTCGATCCAGCCTCTTTTATATACTGCTATTAACATAACAATTTACCATAGGTGTGTGTTATTTACCACTGAACATGCTTGATTGCAGGATTAGAGTATCCTGATTGATTCGCTCTGTTTATCTGTGGCCTTTGGGATCTTGTCCCGATACACATAGATGCCTCTACATTTAGTCACCCTCTTATTTTCACTTCCTCCAAATTTGGTATGATCAGAAAACTTAAAGTTTCTTTCTGGCCCCACTTACACATTGTTTATGTATGATGTAAATAGTGTCAACCCTGAGGCAGCCGACTAATTGTCTCATTCCATGCAATGCAGCACCATGTACCACTACCTTCCTATGATTCATCCGATTTTCGATCCATTTCAGCAATGTCCCCTCTCATTTTGTCCCTTCCAGCTATGAGAACCCACGCTGTGTCAAAACCTTTGCGGCAACATTTCTACTACACATGTATCATTGTGAGTTCAGATAATTTGTGCAAGAGGTATTATGAATGAACAGGGGAATTTGCGGTCTCATGAGGCACTCTTCCAGAAAAGAGACACAACCATTAATACAAACTGACAAATGAGCTCCAAGACAATGACGACATTTCATAATATTTGAGGATAGTCATAGGAATAAAGTAAAATTTCACTTTATCGTTAAATGAAAACTTAAACTTTCCTCAGCTTTGCGAAAAGTAAGAAGCAAGCACATTATGCCTTGTTACTTTGAATAATAAATGCAGTAGTTGGTGCTTTTAGGCTTAATGCATAGGGCTGACTGTGAGCAGGAAGCTCCTGTTGCGAGCAAGTCCCACAGTCCACAAGAAGATCAGTGTAGTCAACCAACACACTAGACAAAATATTTGGAATGTCTTGCCATCCATAGGAAGTGGCAAAGACAAGAGTGCCTTTAACAGCAGATAATGTGTCTAGTTGTTGAAAGGTTATAAAAGGGTATTTGAAAGTCACAAAGGAATATGAATTGGAACGCATTTGAGCAGCGGACACTGAACTGTCATTGATACCTCTTCCTCTTCTACAGGTGTGCTTTCTCTGCCCGCTCACTTCAGTTTATACAATGATGGATTGTCAAGCAAGGATGGCCGTGCTGACGCTTACGCTCAACTGGAGCTGCGAACCCTGGAACAGTCTTTACTAGCAACCTGTGTCGGCAGCATTTCTGAATTGAGTGAGTTAACCATTTGCTTCATGTCTTCCCTACTTTTCTAGTCTCAAAATGTTTGTTGTAACAAGCGTCCCAGATAGCTCAGTTAATTGATCTGAACTAGGGAACAGAAGATTCTGGGTTTGAATCCGTACACGTCTCCACTCTGTCCATCACCCTTTCAGGATCATTAACATGAATGCTATGTCTAAAAAAAATTCCCTCTTCTTGCTGTGGGGAGACGGAAAAAGTTGGGGGATTGGTCCTGGAGATTTATTGGCTTTGGGATCCGGCATTCCTGCAGTTATCTGAGGCATTATAGATGGTGTGCCACCCTGTCTGGCTCATCAATGAGGCCATGAAGACAAGTCATCAGCCTTCCAAGCTAAAGCCTCAGTGGGCAAGGTAATCATTAGTTGAATAAGTATGAGTATCATGAAACGTGCCTTCAGCTTGTAACCTGAGTTAAGTTAGCCTTATTAATTGTAAGTGAATGCTTCTAAGTTAATCGCCCTTGCAGCTTGTGGTGGCCAAGAACAGTGGGATCTTCTTCTTCTTCCCATCACACCTATTTCTGCTAATCCACTTATGTTCTTCTAAGCTTTAAACCTGGCAAAAATCCAGTCTAATAGTTCAAAACCAATTGAAGAAATCTCATGTTACCCTTCACCAATTCACAACTCTAATTGATTTGGAGTCCTGTAGCTCAGTGGTTAGAGCACTTGCTTTGCAAGCAAGACACCTGGGTTCAATTCCAGGCAGGGCGAAACCTTGGGCAAGTTTCCTTACTCCACATGCCTAATAATAATCCCTCCAAAAACCCCAAAAACAATAATAAATTGGTCATTTTCAATCTACGACTGTTTGTGGGACATTGCTGTGCGCAATTGGCTGCCGCGTTCGCCCACAAATATACAGTCAATTCACTTTACAGTATATTCTGTGAAGCGCTTTGGGACGTCCTCCCGACGTGAAAAGCGCTATATCAAATGCAAGGATTATTATTATTATTATTATTATAACAGTGTCTTAGAGTAGTATAGAATGGATTGAAGATGTGGAAAATAAAGGCTTCACAGGACAAGAGCGAGTGAGCGCTTTTAGGTTGACGGGGAACCTTAGTCTTAATACGACCTATACCATGGAATGGTTAGAGCACAGAAGGAGGGCATTTGGCTGAGTTAGTGCCAGTTCCCCCAGTGGAGTTCACCATCTATCTGGATGTGTTTCAAAGCATTCCCTGTGTCAGTGTGAGCAGATTCCCATGTTTCACCGTGGCCTGTGGCTTTGGCCTGTGTGTTCACATTAGCACCGGTTTTTGAAATATCTCTGCAGCCATCAATTTGGCTGGAGTCCGGAAGTCTCCTCATTTACTTTCGGGATATTTTTTTTCACACTCACTCTTCCTCCAGTAGCACAAGAGATTGTCTGTAATACTCTTTCATGAATACGTTTGTCGGACTTGGAAGGTTTATATTTATGAAGCTGTTTATTAAAAAGATACAGCCACACACACATATACAAAAAGTAGAGAATGTATGCCTTCCAAATGTTTGTCTGACATTTAGATTCCAGTCAGACGCTTAATTATAGTAACTGTTTTTTTTAGAATCAATTGGCTGTGGTATTCTTGGCTAGAAAGACAGATATTTCTACAACTTAAAGAGCTGTGAGAAGCTACAGCTTATTACACTTGTTTTTTGCTTCGATGTATTGGCACAAGGCAGGATTTCCAGAATTGCCCAGTCCCATGAATGGAATCACTGTACAGGTTTAGGGTTGAAGGCGTTTCTTTTAAAAAGACAAGATTCCTCGGCCCAGCCTACACAGGCACGGTTACAAATGGCAGCAGAGAATGGCACAGTGCTAGACCATGTCCGAGATTAAACCTGCTGTGCCACCAAAGGAAGCGCTGACTGGGGAGAGATGCCTTATTCATATGGCTTTAAATTAAAAAGGAGAAATATTTGGTAATGAAAGTTATTCCCAGCCACAGGCTTGCCTCCTCCTTCAACACAGCTGCCCCTTTCAAAGTACGTTCTCTTGATAACCCGCCAACACATACACACGCTCACACGGACACACACACACACACACACACACACACACAGAACCACACGCTCACTAATGGAGAAACGTTACTGAGCACACTTGCAGTACTGTAAAGTTCGCACATTTTTTTTTCTGCTTGACCCCAAAGGCAACTCTCTAGAAATAATCAGAACTGTGAACTCTAATTTCCCCCTCCCACCCAAACCAAAACCACAATGACAGTTCAGAGATTTCCTGCGTTGATATGCAATCCAGGTACACGATAGCTGGTTTTCTATCTGAATTGTCTCCGATACTGGAATCCAAAGTTAAAATAAAACCATAAAATTCAACCTTGCAGGAAAGATGGCAGAACACGGCATTATGCTATCACATTGCCATTGCCTGCAGCATAGCCCCAAGGCTGGAGCAAGAGACTTTACAACAGAAGAAAGCTGTCACTGAGACATTTTACATTTGTCAATTAATGCTAATGAATTCACACACGAGGGAGAAGGGAACCCTTTCATGAGGAAGAAGGGAATATAGAAGGATGTGGGAAAAGGATAGGGAGAGAGAATTAAGATGGGTAGGGAATATAAACACAAGGATGGTATAATTGGGCTGAATGGCCTGGTTCAGTGCTGTTCAGTATATATAATTCTCTGTAAAAATACACACAACCTAGAGGATATGTATCGACTATGATCAACGGGTTTATTGTGCATATTAATTGGGCACCAGTATGGGGAAAAATCCTCGAAATTAGTTTTTTTTCATGCACCGATCAGTATCAGGTTCGATTCCTGGGCGAAAACTTAGGCAAGTCTTGTTTCTCCACACGCCTCTGTTTACCTAGTAGTAAGTTGTTAGTCGATTGACGGATCATTTTCCTGGGGTAATAATCCCTTCTTCAAAAATAATTGGTCACTCAATCCATGACTGTCTGTGGGACGCTGCTGTATGCAATTGGCTGCCACGTTTCGTCCACAAATTAGAGTCAATCCACTTTACAGTATTTTCTGTGAAGCACTTTGAGACGTCTCAACAATGTGATAAGGTGCTATATCAAATGCAAGGATTATTATTAGTGTTGTAATAACAGGAATGAGATGGGTCTGTGTATATTGGATATTCTACTATTATCAGGAGCAATCCTTTCATTACATGCTTGGAAATCCTAATAGAAACACTTCACAGAAAATTACTGTGTGATCATTTGGTGCTGATAGACCCTTAGTACAGGATGCATTCACATACATCACAATGATACACACATTCCTTTCAATTAGTCTGCTCAGAGCTATTTATACCCATTACCAAGATTTCAGTCCACTTGCATAAATTACTCCGACTTCAGTGGAGAATGCCATCAAACTGCTCCGAATTTGCAATTTGAGGTTAATCCATCCACAGTAATTGACTGAACTAATGTTTTATTGCGCTAGTGTAAATGATCCATTGATTTGGTTAATTTAAACTTACGAACAGATGAAAATGCTCAGTTGACACCTAGACTGTTACTGCCGTCTGCGTTACTGCTGGGATGAACCTCACTTCCTTTGTCCTTAATGTGCCACTTTCAGTTGCCAGAAAAGAACGATACAAAACTCTGGGCCATTTGTCTGTAAAATAGCTCTGGTCTCCTCCAGCTGGAAGGAGCTGAAACTCAGAAGCCACACGTCTCTTGGATCTCAGTTCCGACACAAAGACTATTAAACACACTTGGATTCAGGCTGCGAGTAAAAATCACATTGGCCCAGTGTTTGGATACAAGTTTGTACAGAAGCTGTTACCTGAAGCTGTTAGCTCCGCCAGTACCTGAACCACATTTAATTTCCTTAATCCATTCGTATCTGACAACCATTGTTTCCCATTCTTATTCACACTCTGCCTGTACTGTACTCTGCCTATGGGGTTTGGGCATGAATTGGAAATCTGTGCCAGCCAGTGTGACTTTCACCACTCAAGAGTTATTTTAGCAAATTTAGGGAACCTTCGCTTTTCTTTTCGTCACCAGCTGTAAGGCTCACAATCAGATGGTCGCAGATTATATGGTGATCTTTGTTGCGTGCATTGGGAGGATATCCATGCCTGTGTGTGTGTGTGTATGAGAAACTGGAGATAAAAATAACATTGAAATATCAGATTACCTAATATATCAGACGCAACAGGTACTTAGATCCATTCCATTTATTTCAGGTAACTGGAAGAAGCTGAGTATGAATTTGTGCATGTGGCTCATATTTCTATTAGTTACAGAAATGTGCTGCTCGGTCTTTCATTACATCCCATTACAAGTCTGCGGAATAGAATAATTGAACAATTCTCATCCAGATACATTCAGTCAAAATTACACCACAGTTTAAAACATTACTTGCAAGAATTTCATTGGCAAAAATGCTGCAAGAAGTCGACCTGTTCCTAAAAAAAAAGTCTACGTTTTTTCCCCTTTACACATATATTCTGTGATGGGATTTGAGATGTCTTAACGAGACGTAATAAGGCGCTAGATCAAATTCAAGGATTATTATTATTTTTATTGTTATTATTATTACCTAGTGTATGTGCTAATTCGGAAATGTGTCGTTATTGAAGAGCAGATACGATCTGAACGCAAATAGTAATAATCCTTGCATTTGATATAGCGCCTGACCGCAAAGTTTTGAGCTTTGTGAGCAAAATAAGTTACGTTCCTGCCGTAAATCAGATGGACGTGAATAAAAATGAATTGTGCTGCGGCGGTTTGGTTTTGTTGCCTATGCAGGTGATCTGGTGTCACGGGCGATGCACCACCTGCAGTGCTCGAATACGCTGCCACCAGGAATGAGTCCCTGCCGCCATGGCAGGCAGCAGCCGGTCACATGGTCCCCAGACGCCCTCCACACCCTCTACTACTTTCTCCGCTGCCCGCAGATGGAATCGATGGAGAATCCCAACCTGGACCCACCGCGAGTATCCCTCAACAACGAAAGGTACCGTTCACGTGTCATCTATTCCTGACTTTAACCTTCCATCCTCTTAGTCACATTCCAATGCAGTGCTGGGGAGGGGTGGGGGTTGTTGCATTATTGGAGATTCCGTACTTTGGATGAGATGTTAAACTGAGGTCCCATCTGCCTGTTCAGGTGGATATTAAAGATCCAATGGCACTGTTCGAAAAGAGAAGGGAGTTTCTCCTGGTATCCTGGCCAAAAATCTCCCAAATAAAATTGGTGACTCACTCCATGGTACATTGCTGTCTGCAACTGGCAGTATCATATTAGACTATGTGATTCCAAGTCCTGATGAGTGTTATTATTAAAGGCAATAATACAATAATGTTGTTGTCTGATGTAGTGCCACAATTTAATCTTGCCAACGATCGATTATCTCTGTTTGCTCTTTTCATCAAAAAAACTCGGTTTTAAACTTTTTCAAAAGTGGTAATTGATATACTCAAGCACAGTTCCCTGCATTAGTTAGAGAATTAGGCCATATACCCACAGCTCTGTGGGGGAAACATACCTCTAATCTCATATGCATGTGAAGTTGTTAATTTTATAGGCTTCTATTTGCGTTCTATGGTTGAAGAAAGAAAGGACTTGTGTTCTACATTCCTCTCAACATTTTATATCTAGTACTTGTATCATATCTCCTGGAAAAGCTGTAATAAGTTCATCCAAAGGACATTCCCTCAGGCAACATTAAATCCTCCTTCACAGTGTTTGCTTCACAGGAAAGATTGAGTAGCAGGAAAGTTTTGCCAATCACAATGTTCTGCTTTGCTCTGGAATTGTAAGACATAAGTGAGTGCTGCATTTGTCTATAAGAACAGTCATTGCCTTCGACGATAATTACCTGTGAAGCAAGCGTGATGAGAGTTTGTGACATGATAAGGCGCGGTAAGGAAAAAGCAAGTTCTTTCTTTTGATATCAAAACAAAATCCCTGAATAACAGTGTCATTTGGTAAACCTCATCCCTTCCTGGGAAAACCCACTTGGAACTTTTACGAGAATTCTGCACTAAATATAGAAAACAATCGAGTCTGCATTAGTGATAGAGCAACACAAACAGCGGATGGTAATAAACAGCACACTTGGCTACATCAATTTCCTGGTGATATTGTGAAGAAAATGAGACAGAGACTCTACCAGGATCCTGCAAACCCTTGGAGGCCAGAAGGCGTAGTTAAAGTTTGAGAAACAAACCAGTTGCTGTCATCATTTAAGCTTCCTTTCCCTCCCCCACCTCCCCGCCTATTTTGCAGAAACATTTTTTTTTATTGTAGGTTTAGGTGCAGTAGGATCCATTTGAATTGGACGAGATTCAATTAGTGAGAAGAGGCTCCTTTTTACATTCAGCCCCGCAGAATTCCTGATCCAGGCACAGGATTGCGGATAAGGATTGGAATTGTTGGTGGAGATTCAGCCACATTCCCACCCCAGAGAAACCAGTTGTGCTGCTTGAAACATCCATCAAGGATGCGACTGTGTGCTTCAACGGGAATTGCATCTGACCGGAACTTTTCCTGTAATATTTGGAGACCAAGGACCCTAAAATCCATCAGCTCACAGCCGGTTTGCTGAGCAGCAATGAGGAATCCTGTACATTGTGCAGAACCCTCTCGTATCTGCTCAGGAAACCAGCTAATGCACCACAGACTGAAGCATGGCTTCCACTTGTCCCCTTGAATTCATTTGCTGAACTCTTTCCACAGGCAGATTTAGAGTGGGATACGATACCTTTGGACGAAAGTGTCATTGTGTTCAATTCATTGTGTGTTTACAGGGCCTCGCTAGTGACAACGGCTGTGAGCCTGTTCAGCCATTGAGGTCACGGCAGATCCTTTAATCGCAGCTCCCCACCTTTCTCCACATCGCTTAATACTTCTACTAATTTAATAATAAATATTCCTGCTCATCCCTCACGCCTTCTGTTCTACCATCAGCGGCCGCACTTTCAGCCTCAACTTCCTAAAACTCTGGAACACTCTCCCTCAATCCCTCCGTCATGCTATTAAGCACTTTGAGTGAGAGGCTTCTATATCAAGCTATTGTTGTTATTTACTAACCGCTATCTATCTGCCATTTAAACATCCAAATTAATTCTGCAGCTTTCTGGGGCATCCCATATTTTCGCAACCCAGTGATTACCTTCAGAGTAATAATTAACCCATTAGAAGTGTATGGTGACAGAGAGAGGAAAGGGTGATCAAAAGCAGAACTTATTGGTTTATATTCAGAGAACTGGTTGCAGAATCCCTGTTTAAAAAAAAAAAAAGTTTTTTGGAAATGCCTTCAATAGAAACATTGGGAAACCATGGGTGGAATTTCCTCCCCGATTGTAGTGAATGGAAAAAATATTCCACCCTCTGTGTAAATAGACGATCATTGACACGCTCCAAATCAAGATTGAGTTGTCAGCCGGACTTGTTTTGTAGGTTACATAGAAAGATTGTACACAGATGAAGCTAATTACTGTGAGCGTTTTCTGGTAGTTCACTCTTGTGTCGTTCATTAGTTTAGGTAGAAAATTCTACTTAAACACATTATATTTCCCACTGTGCATCAGTGTTGAGGCAAACAAGATTTTATTGCTATACTGTCAAACCAGAGCCCTTTTTAAGAATCCATTGAACGCAGAACGCAAACCCACAGCGGGATTTCTCTATTGTTACATTGGCTGCTTCACTCCTGTTTAATAAATAATCTGCTCTGTTTTGTTCCCTTTCCACCAGGCCCTTCATGCTGCTGCCTCCGCTAATGGAATGGATGAGGGTGGCCGTCACTCACGCTGAGCACCGCCGGAGCTCCACTGTGGACAGTGATGATGTGCGACAGACTGCTCGCTTACTGCTACCCGGGCTGGACTGTGAGCCACGGCAGCTGAAGTATGTGTAATACTCCTAACAGCAAAGCTACTCAATCATATGAAACAGGGCAAAGGGGTGCCATCGCTTTGTATATTTTCACTGTGTTTAGGGTGTGGGTGGTTAAGCCCTTTTTTGTTTTGCTTCTCCAATTTTCTCCTCTGAAGGGCTTTACTGAGGTTTGGGTACGGATCCACTTATGTCGCTCCGAATCATCACCCAAACAGCCATTTGTCAAGCTATTCCACACGAGTTTCGTGCTACTGCAGTGACTCCACCATGGGATGGAGAAACGCCAAGATGCCACCACTAAGTGGAGACAAGGTCGCCAGCTAAGGGCAGGGTTGACTGTAAGCTGGGGTCACCCCTGGCTTTTGGAGCAGGAGTGACAAAGACTTGCACGAGTGTTCACGTTCACTGCTCAGTCTCAGTTACAGCTCAGAGCTTTGAAATCGTGATGGACAACAAAAGCAGCGAAATGTATTGAGCTGCTTCTCGCGATTGCCCCTAAAACCATCTGTATTACTTCTGCACAGAACGGAAGACTCTTTCAGCTCATTTCGAAGGCTGGACGCCAAGGCTGCCACTGCCAAGTTCCAGCAGGACCTGGGGTTCCGCATGTTAAGCTGTGGGAGGACAGACCTGGTCAATCAGGCCATCGAGCTCTTAGGACCGGATGGGGTCAATACCATGGATGACCAGGTAGAACCTATTTATATGGGGACCAATGTTACAGCCATTAATTTAAAAAATAATGTTTTCGGCAAAAAGCTTAGCAAAGTGCAATTGAACACTATCTTCCTATCACAACCAAGTGTCTGTCTCCACTTTCAAAGAAAACTTTTAAAGGTGCGTTGAATGATCAGTCAACATCTGCAGTAAAATTTAATTACCCCCCCAATTATTTGGTCATTCAATCCACGTTTGTTTTTGGGACACTGTTGTGTGCAAATCCCTGCTGTGTTTCGTCCACAAAATATATTCAGTCAATTCACTTTACAGTATATTCTGTGAAGTGCTTTGAGACATCTTGAAGACATGATAAGGCGCTATAACAAATTTAAGCATTAATATCATTAATATCATTATTATTATTAACAGTTATTAATAACAGTTATTATCATTATTATTATCCACCCGATGCGCGAGCAAGCCAGACATGAGACTGCACCGTATGGGTTGCAAAGATTTAATTATTCTCTGCAGATGCAGACCGGGAAGCAGACTCATATCATTCAACCCTCGTCTTCAGTTGTCAGTAACCAGATGTCCAATAGCACACAATTAATACTGTGTGCACAAACAGTGCATCAGTACAAACAAATTAATATGTAATGTCATTAATCAAACGGCAAGTAACAGACAATCACCGACACCTATTGTCCGCGTGTTGTTGTAGCTCCTTAACCTAATCTGGTCATTTCTCCGCTCGTAAACAGTTTTGCACATCGCACACCTGGGGTTTGCACCCATATTCCAATAACAGAATGTGCATGAAGGTCACTCCAGTTTTAGTATGCTTTCCAAACTCAACCAATTCAATTGACCCAGGAACAGTTTTGACTAATATCATATTGAATTATCATCCGTTTATAGGCATTCATTTTGATGCCGAGATTGTGCCACAGTGTGGCAAATAGATGAGCGAATAGAACCTTAATAATAAACCATCTTGAATGATATCTCTGTTTGACTGAGCCTTTACTCGACATCTTAAAATCTGTCATTTCCCACCGTGATATTCGTTAAGCACTTTGGGAAGGTGTTTTATGAATGCAAGTTTTTGATTGTCATTGGACGGGGCTGGTTTTTAGATGTGGTGCGTAAGTGTGTGGAGAAAGGTTACAAAACACCCAGTAGCTGCTGTTAGTACAGTAGTAAAGATCAAAAGAGCTCTTAATTTCATCTTTTAATAATAATAATCCTTGCATTTGATATAACGCCTTCAAGACGTCTCAAAGCGCTTCACAGAATATACTGTAAAGTGAGTCGACTGTGTAATTTGTAGTACTTCAATCACATCCAGAATCCATTCCTGTCCTGCTCCCAAACCCGCACTGCTGACAAACAGTCCCTAATGCCATCACCCTGTGTGCCATATCAATGCTCAGCCTTTGTCACTCTCACCCTCTCGCTCTCTGCGTCGTGCAGGGGATGACGGCGCTGATGTACGCCTGTGCTGCCGGAGATGAAGCCATGGTCCAGATGCTGATTGACGCCTCTGCAAGACTGGAACTCTCAGTGAGTTGCTTTATTTCTGATCGGAAACCGCGGCAAATCGTCCAGAAGTGGCTCTCTCTTGGGATCGTTCTGAAATAGAGTTTGCGTTGTTCTTGTACGGATAATCATACAACGAGAGTACGTGACCATCTCTTCTTCCTCTCCCGTCAGGTTCCCAGCGGCAGTCAGCGTTGCCCCTCTGTGCACCCCGACAGCAGGCATTGGACCCCGCTCACGTTCTCCGTGTTGCACGGACACATCCCGGTCGTTCAGGTAACAGAACAGTCACAGCAGAGCAAAGCCAGCGGAGGCAGACACACACACCCCTCCTTTTCTTTGGTCAACAGAAATTTATTTAAAATCATCTCTCATAAAGTTCACATCGACGAATGGGGATTAATAAGCTTAACTCCGATACAAACAGCGCCAGTTTCCTCGAAAACAACTCGATCTAGTGTGACGTGGGATTGATTTGATATTGATACAATAATACGAAGTGAGCAACTATCAGTGGAACAGGAGCTCGAGGAAATAGAAGACTTTGAAGTAGAAGCTGTCTGTTTTGCTCTGACTCTCATCTCTTTTTCGTATCTCGTAATTGTTTTCTCCTCTTTCCTTTTCAATATAAATGCTACAAAACACTTTGACCCCCTTCGGCCTGGCCCCACAGCTTCTCCTTGATGCCGGGGCCCACGTGGAAGGAGCCCTGATCAGTTCTGGGGAAGACAACTGTGGAGAGACACCTCTTCAGCTGGCCTCAGCCGCAGGTATTCTCTCATCTCTCCATTCATCTCGGGACTCGGTGTTTTAACCGTATAAATGGCCCGGTGGCAGATGAAACTCGGAACATGTTTCCGCAAACCAAAAACTTCAGTCTACGTGACGCATATTTTCCTTACCGATGCACCCACTTCAAATTTAATGTTGGCGATGAATTAATTCAATTAACCTGTTCATGGCAGGCACGTTAAATTTATTATGACTGAATCATTAAAATGAAAGTGGCATCGGTGCGAGAATCAGCACTCGGCAAGTGAATCAGAGCTCGTGCGTATGTTACTCTCAGTGGCGTTGTTGCTGTAACGTTGTTCGAGCGATGTTTAATATTGAACATTGCCCTCCTGGCCAGGTAACTATGAGCTGGTGAGTCTGTTGCTGAGCCGAGGTGCCGACCCCTTGCTGAGTATGCTCGACACCAACGGAATGACGTCAGCTCTTCACGAAGACATGAATTGCTTCAGCCACGCGGCTGCCCATGGCCACAGGTAACGCAGCCAGTGGTTCAATGTGGACCTCGCTCAGCTCAGGCCCTGCACAACCTGATACAGCATATACAAACCCACAGTGAAGCTCTGCCAACCAGCCCTTAGGATAAGTCGTCGACTCCACATAACCTGTCACTCGCTCAATAGTCCAACGATTCGAGTGCTTTGTACTTTTGAGATGCTATGCTTTGGAGAACTAGTCAATTCTGATACATGGTCGTTTGAGCTTTTCCCATGGGGGGAGGTGAAGAGTTATCAGAGTTTCACTGTATTTACTTAAACAATGAGAAACAAGTTGGGGGCACTTATTATTTTGAGAGTCATCCACCAAGTCTGCAGTGTGATGGGAGTGGAAAGGGTTATGCGATAACACCTTAAACAATGCAGGCAATGCCAGATGTAATATGACTGAGCGTTTTTAAGGTAAAAGTGACAATATTTGCTATCGGTCTTAACCATTAGCACCAGGTAAAGCCCGTCATGGTTTGAAGTATAAAAATTAGGATCTCAGCAAAGGTGATGAAGTGGGGTTGGTTGGTCTCACACTGAAGCACACCAGGTAGATTCCAAACACACAATTTACCAGTCAAACCAACATTTTCACCTCTTTTCAGGGGGAATTCTGTTAAGTGATTCTTGGAGTTTGAATCAAGCAAATGCTGCGGCGCTCTGGGTTTCGCTACCCCACGTGAGGGGCGCTACATACACACAAGTTGTTGTTGCTGTGCTTCTGACCATTTGATGTGACATTTTCTCACAAACTAGGAACGTGCTGCGCAAGTTGCTGACACCACCCCAGGCCCCAAAGAGTGACGTCCTTTCCCTGGAAGAGATCTTAGCAGAGGGTGTTGAAAGCAGTACCTCGAGTATCGGCAGCATTAATGAAGGGCAGGTTAAACTCTGCAAAGCCAGGACTAAGGCCTTACAGGAAGCCATGTATTACAGTGCTGAGCATGGCTACCTTGATGTCACGATGGAACTGAGAAGCCTCGGTAAGTGATTGGACTCGATCTAAAATGCTTTGAGGTTTCGCCACCGGATTGCTTTTGAAACATTGCTCCATTACGAGCAACAGTGAAAGGGGCAGCAGAGGTGCCAATCTTCTCGTGAGACTGTTTAGGCGGACGCAAAGGTCCCATAACACGGTTTGTAAAGAGAAGGGAGTTTCTCCCAATATCCCGGCCACCAATCCTCCAGATTAACGACGACGACAGCAACAACTTGCATCTATATAGCGCCTTTCATGCGGGGGAGCGTCCAGGGGCGCTTGAATTTGTCATTCACACCAGGCCTGTTTGTGAGACCTGTGTGTACGACAGCCACGATTGCCTACAAATGCATTCCCTATTGTAATTGCTGCAAAGTGCTCTGAGACTTCTGGCCGGGTAAGTATTATATGTACTGTGTTATTACAGTGGGCCTCAATTCTGCCATCTGGGCCTTTCCTGCAGGTGTCCCCTGGAAACTGCACGTGTGGATCGAGTCTTTGAGGACCTCACACCACCAATGCAGATACCCTGTTATGCAGTACCTGTTGCGTGAGTTTAGTACAATCAAAGAGGAAGATTACAATGAAGAACTGATCAACGAGGGCCTACCTCTGCTGTTCGATATTCTCCAGAATAGCAAGGTAAGAGGGAGCTTGGGATCATATAGTTCTAATGATGTGACTCACCGTGACTGCCGCGAAGCAGCAACATCAGCTTATGTTCCACCTGCTTCATGGTTCAGGTTGATGTTAAGTTGAGCAAGATGATTCCTGTAAATCTCAGATCAGACTCTTCTGGTATCGAATCCTGGAGAATTCCTTCAACATTTTCGATTTGCTCCTTCAGTATCGGTGTCGTTAACGTATTGTGAATTCTTAACACAGCTGCGTCGCATCAAACACGTATCACACAATGCTCCAGTGACTCTCTTGTTAAGGTCTGATGTTGGCTTGTGATTTTTGTGATGTTTGAGGTAGTTGGAAATTGAATCTGGTTAAAAAAACAACGACCTTGAGAACAGGGAAGGCTAACCACGATTTTCACCTTGAACCGATTTTCCTTTTCAAGAACGATACAGTCAATCAGCAGCTGGCCTCCATCTTTATATATTGCTATGGCAACGGACCCAGTCCCAGTATCTCTGAGGTCAAGAGAACACCACCTGCTCGACTGGGTAAGTAAATATTCCACGAACAACACAACTGATCCCTACCCTCCCCAACCCCTGACTTTGTGGGAGCACATTCCTCTCTCCTTTGCTCCCATCCTCCAAGTCCAATAAGCAGCAACGTCTCCAGATTTTGTGCAATTGACTACCATGTTTCGCTCACAAAATACAGTAATCCACTTTACAGTATATTCTGCGAAGTGCCTTGAGAGTCCCATCGACATGGTAATTATTATTATTTTCATTATCAGGTTATTTAGGTCACTGATATTTCTCCTTTTTTATTTCTAGATCCTCACTTTCTGAATAACAAAGGCATGTCGGACTTGACCTTCTTGGTAGAGGGAAAACCATTCTATGCTCATAAATTTCTGCTCGTTACTGCCTCAAACAGGTACGACCAACACGGTACTGGGTGCACAAACCGCACCTACTCTTTCCTCTACAAATCCCTTCACAGTTTGACACTTCCCTACCTCTCTGACCTGCTTACTTCCCATCCAACCTAATTCTACCTCCGACTGAAAGCAATAGAAGAGTGCGGTGTGTGATTGTGGGAGTGACTCCCATGTGGGCTGGCCTGTGATGAAGACAGTGTGGATCAGGGGAAGGCAGCGAGTGAAGTTGTCCGTTTTTCAACGTCACTGTTTGTGCTCGTGAGAGTGACTCACTAATGAGCTCCTGTTTATAGCCTTGGTTTAGGTGTGATGTGTATGAGGACGAATCAGTGAGGGTTAAAGAGGTGAGCCTCATTCTAATCTTTTCTCTTTCATAAACGCCACCTCCTCTGATGCCGTAGCTCACAGGCAGAGGGAGACCGGCTACATAATAAAGAGTTATAAACAATACAGACAAACAGTAAAATAAGAACCAGTTGTGAGTTGGGCTGTACTGAGTACTGAAGCTGGGAGAAGCAGGAGACTGGCGTATCAACCTTGAGACCAGGGAGTAAACAACACCTGTAGTAAAGCAATTACACAACGATAATTACTTCTTATCCCTTTCAATCCTTCTGATACCTGGGAACAAATCCAGTGATGGCCTTTGTGTGATGTTGTATATTTTGTCTCAATCCCGCCAGGTTTAAAATGCTGCTGACCAACAGGACATCACAAGAGAACCAGCCGTGCAAGTGCATCGAGATCAGCGAGATTAAATACCACATCTTTCAGGTACTTGTACACACAAATTGCCCAGGAAACAAGAGACCTTCATTAAAACTGCATCAAGGAGGTGAGAGGCTCTGTGCCACCACCCCTCCTCTAATTGTTTCACAGCCCTTTCTGGATTGGGGAATATGCAAGTGTAATTAATATTGGTAATAATCCTTGCATTTGATACAGCGTCTTATCACGTCTTCAAGACGTCTCAAAGCGCTTCCACAGAATGTATTGTAAAGTAAATTGACTGTATATTTTGTGGGCAAAATCTCTAATTGAGATTGGATCACGCGAGGTTTGGATATCGAAGGATGTTTGGCCTATCTAATCTCAAACCCTCTGAATACTCACTCCTCCAACTTCCCTGTGAGCTGGCCTCTGCCAACCCTTCCTCTAACAAGCTCCAGCTGGTGATAAGTTGCTGGGTTAAGAAATGCTTCTTGGGTCTGTCTTGAATTTACTCTGCATATCCCTGAATCTATAACCTTTTATTCGTGCTTCCTTGGTGCATGTGAAAGAATCGTTCTGGGTTCACTTTTTCTGTCGCTGTTCCTACACTTTACAGTAAATCCTGTGCAGTGCTTTGAGACGTCCTCCTGACATCAACGGAGCAATACCAAGTGCAAGGATAATTATATTATCCCATTTAGTACAGTTTGTACCTCTACACGGCACTGTGGTACAGATAGTCTCTCTCAAGATATTCTGATCTGACTCTCAGTTTCCTTCTAGATGATGATGCAATACTTGTATAACGGTGACACAGAATCCATCAACATGTCCATTTCCGATGTGCTGGAGGTGAGGCTTTTTCGCTATCTATAACAAATGTACCAGGGACACAACATTTTCCTTTACATAAGACCATGAAAGCTGAGATTCAGTCCTTATCGCTGCGGTATTCTACATTGAGGTGCTCACGTGGGTTAACATAGAACCTCTCCTAATACATACAGAAGTCTTGATTATTTCTTTCCCATGTTGTTTGACATCATTGTTCTTGTCTCCAGCTGCTGTCTGCAGCCAGCATGTTCCAGCTGGGACCACTGCAGAGGCACTGTGAGCTCCTCTGCACCAAAGTCATGAACCTAGAGAACTCGGTCACAATCTATCGTTACGCAAAGGTAAGCCATCCACAGCCAGTCGTACTGTAATCTCACCACATTCCCCTTATATTGCAATTGACGAATTTCAAGGTATAATAGATCTACAATAACAACAGCAGTGAGACTGCCCAACAATCCACACCCCAGCGCCCTAAAGCATAAAGGAAGCTATAGCCTGTGCCCTATAAACCTATGGGCGAAACCTTAGGCAGGTTGCCTTACTCCATATGCCTCTGTTTAACTGGCAGCAAGTAGGAACCTGATTGTTAGTCAGTTAGCAGATCGCTTTCTGAGAGTAATAATTTCTCCCCCCAAAAATTGGCCCCCCAATCCAAGACTGTTTGTGGGACACTGCTGTGTGCAATTGGCTGCTGCGTTTCACCCAACAAATATACAGTGAATCAACTTTACAATATATTTCTGTGAAGCGCTTTGAGACATCTCAATGATGTGATAAGGTGCTATATCAAATGTAAGTATTAAATGCAAAAATTATTGTAATAGACTATATTGAATGAGTTAATAGTCCCTTTATAGTGACATTTTTAAGATAAAGTAATAAAACAATATATGTTACAAGTTGTTGGATATAAAACAGATAGGACACGCTAATGAGAAGTTACACACATTCTCCTCCATTTTTTTGCTCTCAAAAAGCGAGTGTTGTGTTGGAAGTAGCTCAGTCAGACATCTAACAGTGAGTTCTCTTTAAAATCTGTCGAGGAATCAGCATGGTCCCACAGGAAACAATAAAAATCTCCATCAGAGGAATCAAATTCTGCTATGTTTCCAATGGCTGCTATAAGATTCTATATTAGGTAGACCAAAGGCAGTTCAGATAAACATGGTGAGTTCTATGATATTTTGAACAAGACACTAGCCAGCGTGTTAAGCTTCAGTTACTGTGCATTGCTTCCACAGAAAGAGTCAAGTATGTGTAATGTCTCTGCCACCAGATATTTAGCTTCGGTAAATGTTCTGTCATTTATAGAGCATTCTAAAGTGAGCAGCTTTAGGCAGCAGAAGATCATTACTGCACTAAGGAAGCAGTTAAAAAGTTTGGGTTTTTCTGTCCCGTAAGTTAACTGGGTCCCCATGTGATTTGGTTTCCTCACAGATCCACAATGCAACGGAGCTTCTTTCCTACACCGAGAGCTATTTCCTGAAAAACATGGGTGCTCTTCTTGACCAAGAGTCCTTCAGGCAACTGATCTATGGACGAAACAGCAAACTGCAGGGCCTGGAGCCTCTGCATGACCTGGAGGTGGCACTGGCCAAGAGAATGCGCTCAATCTACATCACATCCAGGGTATGAAAGCTGAGCACAAACTGAAGTGGGCCAGCATTGTGTACAGTGCTAAGGAACACCCCTTCTCCCAATTATATTTCCCACCTGGTTGTTGTTTGTTGCTGTTGGTAACTTTAACCGAGAAAGAGGTGATCATGGTATCTGTAGTAAATATCTAGCCTGGGATTCATGGCTGGAATGGAACTTGAGGTTAGACAAATCGGAAGGCTATCAGTAATGCACACTTGATGAATTTACATTCCCCTTTGCTCCCTCCCCACATTAAGTGTTGATGCACACAATGACTTTCTTACCTAAAGCGCTGCCGACAAAGGACAGGAGCAATGCAAACTCCCTGGCAACTGAAATGGGATAAACCTTCCTCTACATATTTACAGGCTTTCTGGGGCTCCCTAAGGTACAACATTTTTACACTTGCATTGTGTTGTTTGTAAGGTTGCGTTGTATAAGAAGACAGGGAGATGCCGATTTTGAAGACAAACGTGGCAGCTATTTTGCACTGAAAGGTCCCATAAACAGTCATGTGTTGAACGACCAGTTTATCTGGATGACTGCTGGCTAGCGCACCAGAAGTGCAAATAGTGTCCTGGGATCTTTATCATCCACTTGAACCGACAGGTGGAATGCACAGGGTGTCTATAACCTCCCAGATAAACCCATTCCTTGTTTTGTTGCAGTTTAAAAAAGAGGCAAGGTTATTAAGAGTGACAAAAAGTGAAACTGTTTGATTAGAACTTTTACAAAGTTCAAATTGTATTGATCTATTGGGATACATGTAGCCTGTAAGATCACCCTCCCTTTCCTTATCACTCCTCTCCCCCGCACCACAAAAACACAATGATCAATGTAAAAAAAAATCAAAGGATCAAAACTCTGATACACATGGGAGATTCAGGCTGGATCAAAGGCATTTCACTGCATCTACATTAATTGTTTTTAGCCTAGAGTGACTATATTAATAATGATGATAACGGATGATAATGTTGGAAGCTGGCTGCTTTGATCCAGGACCTTGCAAAGCATTCCCTGCATCTGACAATCACCCGTCAGAGACTGAGAACCGTGTGAATGGGCAGAGCCAACTGATAAATCGAGGTGGGGGAATGGGGGGGGAGGAGGTTTGCTCAGTGAATAAACAAGAACGATCCCAAACTGGAAATCATGCTGCCCAGTTTGACGGCAGTGATATCCTGCCCTTCCCGAGTAATCTCTGGGTGTCAGTCAGTTTGCAATGAGGGGAAGGTGCCAACAGCTCAGCACACACCAGGCACACTAGTGTTTTATCTCAATGCGAAACAACACAAACATGTTGGTTTTTAAAAAAACAGTAGTCAGTAATTTATGTGAAGCGACTTCAGTACTGTGTGTGTACCTATATATACACGGAGATGTGTAGAAACAGTAGTCAAAAGCAACCAAGTTTTTTTTTAAAAATTGTTTTGTTAAAGCTGACGATTTAATGCAGAGGACAGCAATGCTCGGGACGGTTGATTTGGAGACGGCTTTGATGGAGGCAGAGTGAGGTATTTCTGTGGCAAGTGCACTGACAAGCTGGGATTTCCCTCTTAAGACAACTTAATGCACACCCGCTGTGACCTTGTGTTCTGGGCTCTAGCAGCAGGATTCCTTTGTTTGAACACTGGGACCACTTTATATTTTCAGGAATCACGTAAACCTTGGAGTTCAGCACAATGGCCCAGTTCAAATTGCACTTTCTTCTGGCTCCGACCACATCAGAATTAAGTTCATCCACCAGAGTATTGGATCCAGGACAATTAATAAAAAAAAATCACTAAATCAACAACCTCATTTAGATTGTTCAATTCAAGAGATGTTCTGCTGATGTCAAAACTTAAAACGTTAAGGATGCAAGGGTGGAATTCATGACAATAACACAGGGAAAACATCAAATGTCGTAAAATGACATGCCACAGATGAAGTGCTTTGTTGCCAAGTAACTTAATAAGAAAAGTGGAATAAGAACGTATATTTTATCACTGTGATTCCTACTCCCAGAGGATGGCGTGCATGCATGCTCTTTTTTTTACTAATTATAGTTTATACAAATACAAATCTTTCAATCAATCTTCCCCCAAATTCCCAACAACAACAACTTGCATTTATATAGAGCCCCTCATGCAGGGAAGCATCCAGACTCAGCCTAGGTACAGTTCCATGGGTGCAAGCTCAAATTATTTTTAAAAAAAACAGTGAATAACCCTCTTAGCTTGGTTCATTCATTTTCACTCGTGGAAGTCAGAAAGCAGTGGCTTTTGGTGTCTGGATACACTCAGGCACACTGGAATATTATGTAAGTAATCTGACAAAGAATGCCATTGTTACAATCTCACTTGTGAAGGACGCAGGATTGGCACAGCATTATTAATGATCTGAAATTGGGAACATTTGGGTCTATTCTCTGCTCCTTTGTAAATTTGCCATGTTTGCTACGTGCACTTAGAATGAGATTTTCCATTAACAACCACCAAACCTGGTACATTTACCATCAAGCGAAAACAAATACCACCTCTTCAGTAACTGGTACAATAACTACCTCATTTGCTCTGTCTTTCATACCGTATACCACCATTACAGCAGTCAAGCACAGCTAACAGAAACAGAGGGATACAGAGATGTGGGAATTAAGGGCACGGAAAGGAGAATGAAGAGGCAAGGTTGTAGAGATAGTTTGGGATGTAATTTTCAGACCCATGGAGTCTATGGGATAGAGACCCATTGGTAATCCTCCAGTTTAGCTTTAGATGGATTGTGGTTCAGCAACTCGGGGCTGTTGTCTGAAGGTCATATTTGAGGTACAGTTAGGTCAGTTTCAGTAAGTGTCAAGAATGCAAGTGGGGGCAAATGTATGCGGTATGTTATCCTTTAAGATAGCCATACTGGGAAGTGCGAGTACAGACAGATGTTGTGTGGAAGCTGGAAGTTAATTAGTTACTATTTTGTATTGTGTTGTTAGCTGGTACCCAGGAAACGCAAGTTCACTACTAGGTCTCAGGATATATTTATGTTGCTTAGTATAATTGCCCCACTTTGTAAAATGTACTGTTATTTTGGCTTATTTTAGCACTGTCCAATGTTTTCAAACGCACATCGCATAAATCCTTTGGGAATTACTTGATTCACGATGATGTACACCTATGTTGGTAGGCAGGGGTGGACTCTTGAGTTTTTTTTCCCCGGGAATGTCTTGGACGAATCAAAAGATTACCGAAATGTCAGGCAAAACAGGGGGAACGCACAGAGTTGAAGCGAGTTTACTTTCAGGGAATGGAGGCACATTGAGGAGCGAGTGAGTCAATCTGTACTGCTCCGGCTCATTAGCAGTGGGGTGGGGGGCGGGGGGTAGAGAATAAGGTAACTCTACATCATCGTAACTTTCTACTCTTATTGAAAAAAATTCCTCCCCAAATAGTCAGTGAAACCAATAAGCCAAGTGAAAAGCTTTTACAGAAAAGGTGTCCTTTCTTTTGGAAACCAGTCTGACTGTAACCCTGTTGCACGACTGGAGCGATGGGTGCAAAGTTTAGCCGTTACTACGTGCTCACTTGCTCAAGTAAAAGCCAGTTCCCTCCTTCCAGAAATTCCGTTGTTGGCGGGACATTTTCCGTAGAAGCACCATTGCTATTTACTTCTGTAAATTATTGCGGTCATTTTGTTGTTTTTTTTCCCCTCCTGATTTGAGTATGTCTACAGCAAAACTAATGTGTTGAATAGAGCTGTGCAGTTTGTAAATAATGAACAATAATGGATATGAAATAGTTCTAGTTCAGGTCTATTGTGTAGAGATTTGATAGTGGGTTCCGAATTTGTTTTCACGCATGTAATTGTTTTAATTGTGGAAAGTTACTGATTGTTTGGAATGTGTACAAAAAACCAGGTCCGATCAAACAAAACACAACAATAACAAATCGATAACATTATCAATAACAAAATGAAAGCTGCATAAATGTTCAAATATAGAAAGTGGAGTAAACAGCTCCACAGTTGCCCACAAATTCAATCCGAGCAGCACTTGTTTCTACAGAGGATACTTACGGGCAGCAGCACTATGCAGAAATTATTTGTTAAATAAAGTTATGAATGACCCATACAACTGGAATAAATTCTGTAGTTTGCTGTCACCGCTCGCCATTTAGTTTTGGTCAAACCTGTTGAGTACGTACTTCAAAGTGTTCCATAAATTACACAAGCATCGGTCCTTATAAGAAGCTTTTTAAAATATAATAGTATCTACTTTATAATGCTTCTGTGTTGGTTGGAGCAGATTTTTCATCCTCTCTCTCTCCCCACACTCCCCAGCAATGGTTAAGATGAGGAAAACACTGTGCATGAGGGGGTTTGGGACAGAACTCACAAAGCTTCATCATTGTACCACCAAACCCACTTACCACAGCACCACTGTCCACATACACACATTTGGTTTTAATATTCCTCAGTGGTTATATGCACTACTTCTCAGAAGGGAGTGGTTGTAAATAAATATCGAGTAGTACTGCAGACCCATTTTTAACAGAATGTCATGGCACCAAATTTATTCTTCGTTTTATTTTCTATTCCTTCAAATAAACTTCTCTTCCACTGTGTAAAGTCAGATTTCCTCCTTAGTGTACTGCCCTGGTAATAAATCACAAACCTATAAATCTCCTCCCCGACTGTGAGAAATTCTGGTTTGTGTTTTTCGACGTATTGCTCTTAAGCATCTGCTTCACACACACTCTGCCCAAAGGCTGAAAATTACTGCATCGAAAGTGATTCGGTTGCCAACTACAATCTGTAATTAAATACAAAAACATGACATATGCTCCCAAAATAGGCGTTACATTATGTCATGCCTTAGTGGCAAGCAATTACATTCAAAAGGGCCATTTGACCAAAATAGAAGGCAGTGAGTGCACCACAAAGCCTCACAGTTGGGACAAGATCCCAGCATGGTTTTTGTATATATTTTAAAAAACATTGATTTGATATAGCCTTCCATTTAAAATTTAAAAAATACATCATTTGCTTTTGTTTAATTCAGCAGCCTCAAACTTCAGTTTCTCAATTCAGGATTCTTTGAATATCAAATTCCACAGCACAAACCTCAGCACATTGCCATAAACTATGTGACAGAACACATTCAGGGATTGTCAGGATAGCTTCGAGGGTGGAAGAGAATGTGTCACAGACAATGTGTCTAGTTTGCGATATTGCCAAACAAGGTTGGAAACGTTAATTGCGAGTTCCATTTTGCCAATTTGTGATTACTGTAAAATGATTAAACTTGCAATTTCTGAAAGCTGCCATTGTATGTTTTGAAGAAAAGCATCAGAGCAAAATGCCAAAATAAATTGCAACCCAACACATGCTACAGCAGCGTATAGACACTGTGAGGTGAAACACAGCCACTTTCTATGTTCATTAATGTGAACATTAACAAAAAAAACTGAACATCCCATACTGCCAATTGACACTGAAAGCAACAACCCATCAACAGGGGGTGAGGCCTTTGAGGTTTGCAGACACGAAACCTTCCAATGCAGCTGCAAACGATTTATCAATCTGACCTGAAACTTTCTACACATCCCGTAATAATCATATCTGTAAGTGTTGCTATGCTTTTTATCACCCTGTATGTATACACATACTCACTCCTATTAAACTAATGTTCCACTTTCTTTGGTAGCATTGCCTTTTTAATAAAACGTATATTGCTTCCGTGTGGCATGGTGTGATGGTAAAATCAATAATACTGAGTTATGATTTTTTAAAAAGTGTGAAAAATGCAACGTTGAATGTGCTAATTATCACATTTACATTTTGCCCACAAAATACAGTCAAATCACTTTGCAGTATATTCTGTGAAGCGCTTTGAGACGCATCGACGAATTCATATAGCGATAAGATGGTCTAATAGAAAAATCCGTTATAAAATTGCTAAACAATGAAGTTTCTGGCCTCCCGACTGTTTACCTGACGTCACTGTCAGTGGGGATGTCACTGTGGATAGCGGTTAGAAGCAGTGCAGATCGACAGACCTGTGAGAGACTGGGCACCAATACTAATAACTAGCGACACAGGGCAGCAGGTAGTGAAGGTAGTGAAGGTGGTGACCTGGGAGAAGGTGATGACCGGGTAGTAGCCGCTCTGCTGGCTGTTTATCTGACGTCGCAAATTAGCAACAATCTTTTTTAATACAGCCAAGTCAGAGGCAGGTAGCAGCTGATACAACCCAAGAGAGAAGCACCAAAACCGCTCTACTTGATTCTGCAGCTCGTCGGGAACTCTTGTCTATTAATAACTGGGTATGAATATCAAGAGTGAAAGTTGGCTAAACAATACACATGGCAATGTCTGTATGTTTTTGAGCATTTAAAATCTCACCATACCTTTCTGTTGTCTTCGACCTCTGCTTTTGACCACACCACAATCCCTTTCTGTTTCGTGAATTACTGCTATTTGCCTATTTTAACCAATTAGATTTCAATCACATCCCTCACACAAATCCAGGAAACCTGATACGAGTTTCAAATCACTAATTTAGAACTGCTCTAAAGCAGCTGAAGTTATAAATCGAGACCTCCTTCCTTTCCCCACCAAAAAAAAAACCTCCAGGTCGACGTCAGCATTTGAACTCCACAATGAAAGAATTATGGTTGTATTATTCATCACATCAATTTCATTAAATTTTCATGGTGTACAGCATAGGGTAAATAATAATACTTGCATTTGATATAGCGCTTTTCACATCTTCTAGACGTCTTAAAGCGCTTCACAGAATAGACTGTAAAGTGAATTGACTGTATATCTGTGGGGTAAATGGAGACAATTTCAACAATCCCATCCAGAGCCAGCAAATGGACAGCTGAACTTTTGGATTAGGATAGGTGAGAACAACCAAGATGAAATTAAACGTACAACTTTATGAGACAATGCTCTCCGTCATGTAAATCTCTGCCTTCATTCTCTCATCAATGCATTTCAATAGCTAATTCTGGACTCTCCAAAGTTTTTTTTCCAGATGTCAAGTGAATGCTGAGATCAGGACAGATTAACAATGACAGCTGCATTACTGTTACAGTTGTACATTAATATACAAGTATTAACTGGAAGCAAGGTTTAAATACTACCCTCTGCCTACATCCTTTGAAGAAAGTTGTTCGAGGGTACTCCACCATTCTACACTGCAATTAACTGGGATAGTAGAGCACAAACATTCAAAAACGGCTTTTGAATTATCCACATAAAGGGAACAAATTAACAACATTTTAGGGAAAGAGAAAGCAAGCCTTTATATAGAAAAAATATTTTTTAAAAATCCATCTGTAAAACATTTGGTACATTTCCCTTGCAAAGAGTCGGTATTTGACTTATCGGTTATATCAATCTTTTTTATTATGTATATATAAAGGATGCTCACCCTTCAAATTTGATAGAATACATTTCCCTTAGGGTGAAAGGGTGTGGGGGGGGGGCACTGTAATAAAACACAGAATCCGGTGAATGTGCTTTGCAGGGAGTGCTGGTGGTGATTCATCCCTGGGCTTGGAAGCGAAGATTCAACAGTCCGTTACCAGCAGCATGTCCTGTAGTTCTTGCAGGTACAGAAATGCTGAAGTTCCCAGTGAGGTCTGCCTTAGCACTCGCATGCTTGCATCTTCCCCCAAATGATCACCAAATCTGCACATCATCATATTGTGAGGCCCTCTGCCTCACCACCTTTTTTTTAATAGAATCACACACACACTGGATTAAAAATAAATTATAATCCCAGATGTCACTGTCCAGCAGATTCATTATTTTGCCCACTTTGGTTTCCTTCCTTTTGTTTTCTTCTGTTTCTTGGGTGGCAGTGGGGCCTCTTTCTCTGTAGAATCTAGTTTCCTTTTGTCACTAGAATAATTAAAAAAAAGGTTTTGTTACTTTACAATTGGTCACTTCCTCACAGACATACAGCCAGGATCAGGAACCTGAGCTGAAGCCATCTCCCCATCTACTGCGGTGTAATGTGCTGCAGCGCCTCAACACGCTGAACATAGCTATTCTGTGACAAAGCAAGTCAACAGTTTGATTATATTAAAGTGAAAAATGAGGACGTGAGGCCACCATTTCATATGATTACAGGAACAGGTCTGTATCTTACCTCTTTATGCTGATGACTGTGGCACTGTGTCCTGCTGTCTTCAGCACTTCATTCCACTCATCCTCATTCCCACGGATTGCATACCTAAACAACGAGAAGTTACAAGCAGCTTGATTCTTGAATGAAAAGCAGTGCACCCAATTTCCTGGGTGCCTTCAGCATCTTATGGAAGATACTGATAGGACAGTAGGATTGATAGGATAGAACAACGTACTAGTGGAGGAAAAGCACTTTCTCCAATTTGTGAGAATGTGTCTTTAAAATAAAAACGTAAACTCCACCTTCTCACAATTCCTCTACTCTTTTCCAAAACGTGCATTAACCTCAAAATTTCTCCCTCTACTGCAAAAAGTGAAGCATTTCTCACATCAGACATTCTCTGTGATTTTTTTCTTGCCAAGTTGTGGCTTGTTTACACTGTAATTTGAACCTGGGTTGAGACTCGCCAAATTCAGGATTCTTACAACCAGATAAAAAGAACACATTCACCCGACTAGTCTGACTGAACTGAATTCCAAACCACAGCCCAGATGGGAAAGCATAAGCAAACTGGAATTTCTAACCATTGATATTCTGAGGTCTAGGACATTAGACCAACAAACACAATGCACGTAAGGGTATACAATTCAAATTGTGCTCTATATATTGATCAGTAAATGAGTCTAATGTCTCAGAGGTGGTCTCATAAATCTGCTGCATAACTTCCACCCTCCAGATCTTATTAACTTACTGAGTTAGATCCATTCCTTTCAGCTTCTCCACTTCATGTTTGTGTTTCTCCTGGAATTCCTTCGCTGCTTCCTCCTGCACAAGATAGAAAAACTTAACTTTAACACTGAACCGAAATCAGAATGAACTGAAATCTCTTCCATCTGGGAAACAGGGAGGTCACTGGTGAAATGACTCCTATCTGGGTTTAGCTCGGTTCAACACAAGAACTGGCATTTATAATAGCGCCCCTCGCTCAGGGTAACATCAGAGCGCACTTTAAATCTCAGATATAAATACCACCAGAAAACAAATTTAACTAAAGATTCGAATCATACCAGGTCTTCAGAAAGGGATTTAATTGTCGGCTCCATGACAACAGCTTTTGTGGTAACCATTTGTTCCTCCACGGCTCTCTCTTGGATAGTATTAAAGAGCTGCAGGATGCAAGGAAAGAAGAGGTAAATCAAAACAGATTTTCTTAAAATACAAACCAAGTACCTCATAAATGACATTTTGCTCAATACCCACTTCATCACTTCAGCTAAGTCAACAGCTGTATAAAAACAAACAGCTGTTTTGTTAACACACACACACGTCACGATTGTCCTCAACTCCTCTGTTAGGTCCTGTAGAATTCTATGAATGATACGATCCTAGCATTTTGGAGAGCCACAGCTTAAAATAATCAGAAATATATAATTAACCATTATACATCAACACCGACAGATAGACGCAAACTCCAGACAAATGGTACTTTGATTTTGCTCTTGTATTCAAGATTAGCGATTACATGAAACTGACACTGACCCCCTACTGATGTGCAGCTGTGGTTTGAACTCCACAGTACTGTATGATTCATTTACCTGGACAACTTTGCGGATCAACCGGTTGAAAAGGCCCATCAGCTGGCTGCTTGGAAGCTCAATCTCCTTCTCTAGCTGGTCAACAGACTTGTGCTGGAGTCCAATACCCAACAGCATCGCCTGCAAACAGAGGAAAAACCACTGGTCAAACTGCAGCAATGCCCAAACTTCAACTCACATTGACTTGTTTATATGCTGCTATGATACCTCAAGCTTGTGGCTAAAGCTCTTTGTAAAATTGCTAAATTATACTCTCTGCCATTAGTCGTTTTTTTAATGGGACTTCAGGGATTGTTACAGTTCTAATATGTTCAGCTAAATACATTCAGTTCAATTCCAGGCAGGACGAAACCTTGGGCAAGTTTCCTTACTCCACACAGAGCCTAATAATAATCCCTCCAAAAACCAAAAACAATAATTAAATTGGTCATTTTCAATCTACGACTGTTTGTGGGACATTGCTGTGCGCCAATGGCTGCCGTGTTCGCCCACAAATATACAGTCAATTCATTTTACAGTGTGTACTGTGAAGCGCTTTGGGACGTCCTCCTGACGTGAAAAGCACTATATCAAATGCAAGGATTATTATTATTATTATTCAGAATATTAGAGGTGCCGTACTGTTGATTCTTATTGCAAAAGTCAACAAAATAATAATTAAAAAATCTAATTAAAAAGTTTAAAATGCCCTCGAGCTAAGGCGTTTCTTCAAAGCGCATTGGTTAAATGGAAATTAGCACCACATATTGGATAAGATAGTATTAATCCTTGCATTTGATAAAGCACCTTATCACGTCGTCGAGATGTCTCAAAGTGTTTCACAAGAGAATACTGTGAAATGGTTTGACTGTTTTTTGTAGGCGAGATTCAGAGCTTGGATTCCTGTCTTCAGCTAAGGTCACGGGGGAGCAGCCTAACTCTAATCGTAACCCTCTGTAATGCTGGAGGAAGAAGAACACCTCATTCAACGCTCCTGCTCCTGTCTGCAATTTAGTGACTGATGGTAAGTGCATTGTCAGGGACAGCATGAGGTTCAACTGTGATGAGTTCGCATTTGATAATAATAATAATCCTTTCATTTGATACAGCGCCTTATCACAGCTTCGAGATGTCTCAAAGCGCTTCACAGAATATACTGTGTAATGAATTGACTGTAGATTTTGTGGGCGAAATGCGGCAGCCAACTGAGCACAGCAGCGTCCCACAACCAGTCGTGGATTGAGTGACCAAATTATTATTATTATTTTGAAGGAATTATTTCCCCCAGTAAATCGAAAAAAAATGGCTCCTTGGGCGCAGTGGCAGAAGGTTCTCTATCCAAGCAGCGATGCTACAGCATGAAGCACTAACTTTAGGAGACAGGAAGGGGAATACCGGAGGAGAGAAAAAAAAATGCACCCAGCTAACAGGCCGATCTAAAGAATCTTGTTTCTATTAAATAAAAATTTGGCCACAGACATGAAATGTGGATATATTTCACATTAGACTAAGTTCCTGAAACTTATGCCGAGCTTCCAATATTGTAATCATAAAGAATATGCTGCTCTGTATATCTCCAAATCAGTTGTTCCCACCCCAGGCTACAGTCAGGCTCCTGCCAGCAGATGTCAAAAAGCCTGTTACTAAATAAAGTACAGACTCCATCAGTTTCGCAACCAACGTTACACCAGACAGAGTAACAATTCATCAGGATTGTTTTGACCATTCAACTAAAAAAAAGTATGGATGCAATGCAATAGTCTTGTTATAAGCAGAGATTATTGGTAAAGCAGATAAATTGGGCGCTATATAAATGTAATTTTGTCGGTGTACTTCAGTGGTCTGATCAGTTGCAATACTCAACAAAGTCTATTGAGGCATCAAAGTTTTCATCTGCTTCACACCATTACAATATACTACAGTACTTTGCAACAGCACAAGACACCTTAAATACTGGTGTGTACCAAACTCTCACAACAGCCAGTGTTGTTGATTGCCAGTCATGTCTGAATTTCAGGACTGGCAATCAACAACTGATTGCAGACTTTATATAAACACTGACAGTGAAAGCTAGTTTGCTGGAAACTTCATTGACATTTGAACATACATCAAAGAATTGTATTAAAGAAACCGAAATTGACATACTGCCTCAAAAGGATAAGATAGCACAAAGATGAATGGAGAAGAGGGTGGAAACAGAAACAGAAAGCAGAGATAAAAACGCCAAATAGTGGAGCCAGGGCACAGAATGCGGACGGCAGGGGGTGCCAAGGAGTCAGAGTCCGGAAGGTTTAGGAAAAGAAAACACTGGGATTGAGAAAACAGTGAGGAAGTGATGTTGGCAGCAACTTGACCACCTCTAAAAAATACAGTCATTATACTTTAGAATAAATGCTACAAAGCGCTCCGAGACTACCTCCCAACGTGAAAGTCGCTATATCAAATGATTATTATTATTTGCTTATTAGTTTTCCCAGATTCGAAGCACAGAATCTCCCTCAGCTCAATGCGGGCTATTATAAAGTCTTAGCTTTTGAGATTCATTTAAAACAACAGACTGACATGACAGAATGTACCGCAGGTTTTTTACAATGAGACAATATACAAACTCAAATCATTTCATTTAACACTTTGTAGACAGTGGAAAGAAAGGCTGACAAGAGACCAGAGACTACAATACCTACCGACTGTGCAGCAGACAGTGAAACTTCACCAAGCTGTTTCAAGAAGAACAGCCGAGAGATGCAAGGAATCATGTCCATGATCAGGTGATAATCCACCATATTGCGCGAGTACATCTCCAATCGTTTTAGATCATACGGCGTAAAGGAGGCTTCCAGCTCGGACCTGCTCAGCGCTACGGTAGAAAGAGAAAGCATTTAAAATATGATTTTGAACCATCTGAATTTAGCCGGTGCCCGCCGTGTAATTAAAGCTGGAATAATGGATTCATTACAAGTCTGATTAATTGTTTGCCTACAAGGCATCACAGACAAGTTTAGAAGTATTATTAGTACCTTGTGGTCAGATTGCAGCTTTGAATATTCGTGCTGGGGATGGTGCAAACTCTTATTTATGACTTGGTTTTTACATTTTCTGACATTAGCGGCTGCCAGTGGAGAATAATAACTATCACTGCTCTGTGTCCTTGAGGATATGCACTCCGCAGAAGGTATAATTAAGCAACAATCCACATCCAATAACCATTCTCTGCCTTGCATTATAAAACCAAGATTGGATCAAGCCAGATGATTCTGCACTATAACATGAGTCACAAGCTCAACACCTCCCGAGTCTTGTACTACACCTCTCCGTGACTACATCAGGCGAGGTATTAGAGCCTAGTTGTAGGGCTGCACCCCACCCCTTCCCTCCATCAAACAACCTGCGCTGGATCCCACATCCATTTTCTTGGCTCACACACGGAATGTGGCTACATGGAAAAGCTCTTGGGGAGCGACTGCAACTGTTGGAACCGTACCTCAGTCCGACCATCCGGAAATTAGGGAAGAGGAAAGCAGCAATATTTTTTTTTAGAAAAACTAAAGATTTAAATTCAGCTGAGCCAGAGACACTGCATGGCTTTGTTTCGCCATCATAGGGTACGGTGTCAACTTTAATTAAGACCGAGCTTACAAACTGCCTCCTTTCCAATCTCCAGCCTTAGGTTTGAAGCCTCCACATCTGGTGTACATTATATATGGCAATGTTGTACTTTAATAAACTCTCAACATTTTAATTTTATATCCAGGGGAAAGGCTCTCCTCCTACAGGCATCATTCCATTTGGGTCAAATTTGGTTTGATCTTCAGATCAAAAAACAAAGTTTTGCTTTTAAATGCGTCAGCATGGCATGGCTCAGTTAATAGCACTTTTGCTTTCCAAACAGAAGATTGTGGATTCAAGTCCTCCTTTGGGGCCTTCGAAGACATTGTCTGGGCTGACATTTCAGTACAATGTTGGAGGAACACTGCATTGTCGGATGTGCCATCGTCAGGAATAGTAAACTCAGGTGCCACTACATGAACGAACTCACGTCACTACATGAGAAGGGAGTTTCTCACAGAGTCCTGGCCAACAATTTCCTGGCTATTTGTGAGACATCGCTGTGCACAAATTGGCCGCCATTTTCCTACAAATACATGCAATAGTAAACACTATGAAACGCTTTGAGATATTTCGACACGATGAGCTGAAAGCTTGTTCATGTAATATAACCAACTGAATTCCCAAGTCCTTGTACAAGGTTTCCTAAGCAACACACAGATCCATCGCATGCTGCTTATTATCATCCAACAAATTGCATGAGAACTCACGTGGCTTTGGTTCCTGTTTTATGTTTTTATTCTGAAGAATATTCAGCGACAAAGCGGGAGGGAAACTGCTGAACTGGTATGACAGCAGGGAGAGAAATCGTTTCCTGAAATCTGCAGACATGGAAAACATTGTACGGGTGAGCACATTGTATAGATAGCTCGGTAGGCACACACACACAAATCAATGTACACCATTCATTTATCTATCCTGCGCTGAATTTTCACTTTCAAGTATAAAACTTAGCTTATCTAATGGCACCTGGCATCAGAAGATACTTTTCATCTCTTCACACCAGCAGCATAATGACTAGTCACAAATACTGAGGCACAAATAAGGTGTATCAAACACAACTGGTTAATTTCAGTTGTGCAACGAACATCTGGATCAGCAAATGGGCTACATATTATATTTATTAAAGAGATAGCTTTGAGTCGTTACCTTTCCAGAAGGCGTGGAGCCAGTTCTGTTGTCCAGGTTCCTCCTCGTCTTCATTCAGTGTCTTCAACATGATGCAAGAGTGTTCACCTGTTAGATCATTCTGAAATTAACAAAACCTTTATTAAAAGCAGCCAACTTTAAGCGCAAAAGGTATGCTCTAGTGCACAATGGCTCAGTGTCAAGGTGTTGAAAGCAGCTGAGGTGATTTAGTGTACATTTCTCATACTAAGCACTCTGAAGTACAGTTGAGGAAATGGCACTGATTATTTATTCGTCTCAGTTAAAAAGTCTCTGAGTGTTTGTGAAGGACATTGTTCAGTAGTCAGTATTATATTCAGTAATCAACGGTGGCCCGTCCAGTGATCACTCTCCTTCCTTGCAACTGAGAAATACCCATCCCTTTTATTTTGTGCGCAGTAACTAACTTTACCAGATGGTGGCACTCTATTTTACCCAAAGAATGTTCACATTAACGTGCGTACAAGTGACTTACAGGCGTCTGTCTCAGATATACCGGAACATATCCCCCTCGCTTCCAGAACCTTAAAACAAAACACACAATTGTTTATTTTAAAAAAAGGACAGGAACAGATTTAGAGATGACCAAGTTTCTCACAGGGAAATTCTGAGGGAAAAGGAGCTGGATTTATCAGTTCCTTGTAGGCAGTTACAAGTCACTGGTGCCCTGCTGTAACTATAAGAAGCACTGGGTGAATCAATGCTGCCCGCGCTCCATATAGGCTGCTTCCACAATGCTGACCCCAACATATTCTCATCATCAGAGCTGGCTATAACAAAGCAGAAAATTTTGACTTACTTGCACACACAATTGTAGGGTATAAATCATCATTAATACGGCACCAGTAAAGAAATAGATTAGGGCAATACAAAATTCACAAGGGACTGTACTCTCCGAGTCAAACAATAGCAATCGGGAGTTTTTGAATCCCAGCACCATGCATTACTGACTACCTCAAGGAACTGCCTGCTTTACTGACTACCTCCAGGAACTGCTCACCCCAGGGATAGAACAGTTAATGAAAGGACCCAGTCAAAGAGTTGTGGCAGAACTGAATAAAGTAAATGTACATGGATTTCACTTTGACATGGGAAGCGGGTGTTCAAAGAGATAAATGCGGCTCTTTAAATATATCACTGGTATTAGATTACAGTGCAATCATTCATTCACTCCAACATTATTAAATGTCTTCTACAATGGCATTCATGGTTCACTGACAGAGAATCAGATCTAATGTAGGGGAGAAATGTTTTAAAGCAAAGACAAAACCTTACGTTTATAAATAGCTCCGATTCATGACTCCTCACTAACGAAAATTGAAAAGCTCAGTCGGACTGACATGAAGTATTCATGAGTAAGTAAGAAGCAGTTCAATGCCACAGGCAATCAGTCACCTGGGACATTAAACTCCCGGCTCATTGCTTTGTGCCGTGCTAGGTTAAAGATCCTGTGGCATCAGCACTGTGGCCCATATTTGCTCATGAAACATCTGCCAGGAGCCTTGTTTCTGGGGCACAAATGAAACGTTAAATCACTCACTAATAAAGGGCATTATATGAAGGTTTAATCCTTGTAGTAGCATTTTACACTGCAATGAAAGAATTTTAGAGCCATAAACTTATTCATGATGATCATCCAGATGGGCCGAGATGGAATCCTATATTCTGTGGCCATTCACATTCGTCTAATTTACACCATCAGGTTTCAGGAGCTTTGCAAGCAGGGAGCAATTCTGTTTTCTTTATAAAACTGAATCCAATTTTGTTTAGTGATAAAAATGTGACAAACTATCCAGCTTTATACAGGGTGACCAAAACATTGTGATAACTACTCTATTACCTTAAAAAAATCATTGTTTTTAAAGCCTTATAAGACACTGTAATGGTATCACAACTTTTTGGTCACCCTGTACAACTCTCCCTTTACACACACACCACTAATAAGACCTCTTCAAGGAGACGTGCATCTATGAGGTAGGAATGACAGTCAGTACTAAAGGGTTAGCCCGAATACCACCAAATTTGATCATTATAGAAGAGCCTGCAGATCCTCTCCTCAAACTTCACAGGACATATAGGAAGAGCAGATGGAGAGTTCTATGTATTAGTGTAGCCCACTAAATCACTGCCCAGCTTAAAATGTTTCTGTTACACAAGTGACAGGCTTCTGATGGCTGGAAGCATGACGCTGTGTGTAGACATACACCACCTCTCCAAGCATTTGGAGTCAGCACAGAAATAGGTCCCATCTGGAAACCTTGGCACTTAGACTGGATATTATATTACTGGTCTAAAGCAATCCCAGGCTGCCTATTAACCACTTCCCCGCTGCATAGCAAAAGGTGCAAGGAGTCTCCCCTGGGAACAGTAACAAAAAATGTTCAGCTTTAAAACTCAATTTTGCACCCCCCCCAAAAAAAAAAACAATTGAAGAACAATTCAAAGAAAAAAAGCTTAGAACTTTTGGGTGATGATATGACAGGTCATTTTTCAAAGAATTGATTTTTAGAGTTGTTGCATTTATTAAATCATGCAACTCCACAGTCATGCATATACCTTCATTTAAATCACTATTAAATCCTGGACCCATAGACAACCTACATTTCTATGTTCACGGGTACTTTTTGCACCTGTGGAAAAAGAACTATAGGTTATGTATGGGACCAGCAAAGACCATTACGATCCATCTGGCTGATCATCAGGTTTTAAAAAAAGATACACTAATCTCTCTCACTCACGCATCAATCAATTTCTCTGTCAAGTGTCCCAAGCATTCTTTGAATGGATTTTTCATATGCCCAAGCAACACAGTGCAGCAAATGAAAAGTCATTTGCTGCAAAACAACCTCAGCCATTTTCAGCACAGATATTTCAGTTTTATAGGGCTATCTATTTTGGTATCCTGATACTAACGTTTCCCTGGTGAGAGGGGTCAGGGTCAAATGGGAAACATTCTTGGAACAGAATTTCTCGAATTCATTTTTAAAATGTTTGGAAATCCAATCTGAATATCAAAGGGATAACCTTTTTTTGGAGCAGAGAGATATATATACTTTGAGAAACGGGCTGGCAGGTAGGTAAGAGGTCATAAAATGTTAAAAATCTCTGTGTTGAAATTGAAACCAGTACGGTGACTTACTTTAACAGCTGTGGCGTAAGGCCGTAAGATACTCCGAGGTAGTCAAGTTTCTCTGCTGGGCGCTCGCACAGCTTTAACAGTAATGGTGGTAGATCTCTACGTGGAGACAGCATCTCTTCTAGTAAACCTACAGCCTGAGGACAAACAACATTTTACAGTAATGTACACCCTTTGTCCTAAAGCAAACCGTTGTTTATATGTTAAAAAAAACACACACCAGAATGACAAAATCTAGCACTGAGAACAAAGCATTACCCATTGGTTTGTTCCATACTTTACCCCTGTAAATGATAAGGAAACGTATAGGCATTGGAGTTGCAACAAGTTATACTGTTTGCAATGTCATTTCACGTGACCAAATTCCTTCAAAGATTTTATCCAAGAAAAGGCCTGTGCCCAAAGAGGCCGAGGTGGAGGAGGAAACCGAGTCATTCTCATACTTGGGAGAACAGAAACATTAGATTTCAAAATAGAGGGTGAGAATACTCCAACAGGCTCCAGTCTGGGTGATGCTGGAAGCTAAGTTTCAGAACTGGTCACGCAGGATGTATTGCTAAAACATTTGGAAAAATAAAGCTACAAACAACGTTTCTGGTGGCCTAGTGAGTAAATTAGTGCAACACTAAGCCACGCAAACCAGAAAGCCTGTGACTGAAAACTGGGTCTCAGTTAGGAAAGTAGTTATGGCACAACAATTGGCATCAGTTCCCTGGGTTAGGAAGAGGAAACTCAGCCTTGCTTCCCACTCAGATTGTTAGCAAGAGACCTCTGCTGGTGAGTGTTGAGCGAGGACAGGATTGCACTTGGCTGGAATTCCCTCCAGTCAAATAGTCTGCCGACAATGGCCACCAAAGGGTGTCTGATGCCCATGGATTTGCACCACTGAGGAACCGAAAAGGGGTGAAATGCCTTCAGGAGAGGAGAGAAAGTGGTAAGTTGCTAAAGGGGAAAAAAAAAATCCAGACAAAAAATAAAAATATTTTTTATCAGCTCAAAGTATCAAATGTTTATTAATATTCAGCAACAGCAGGGTCTCATACTTTAACTGTTGCCTGAAATACGGCTGAAATTAAAGGCAGCAGAACCAGTAGACAAAAGGCTCTCAATACCACAGAAATATTTTTACTGGACTGGCCCTTATAAAATGCACAGTTTCCTGTGCCAGCAGCTACCAGCACTTGGTTCCTGGAATGTATTTGCTGGGTGTGCCAGACAAGTCACACTCCATCACATCAAAATGTATTGGGCGCTGTACAGTGGACCAGTGTTCAGTTCAAACTCTCGCCAATGCAGGAGCTTCACAGCAGGAATGAATTAGATCCATCACACAGTTGTTGATTTACAGAGCAACAGAAAAGCAGAAACTTACCTTAGGAACAAAGCTGCATTTTTTTTGTGCACTCACCCCCCCAAGATGCACTAATGATATTGTCGCAAAACACTTTTGAATAACATTCCGAGTTTTAACTGTGATCCAAATTTAAATTCCTAAAACACACACACGTACAAAGCCTCTAGTCTTTACATGAACTTAAAAATAAGCTTTTAAATGTTATAGCGGTTTTCGTTTTTATATTGTCCTTCTCCTTACCTCACTGCTGACGGTGGCTATCTCACTGGATTTCTGGCTCTCTCTCTCCTCCAGACCAGGAAACTTCCCCTCATAGTACATCTGTAACAACTCCACAGCCCGGCTTCCATATCCCATCTAGTCATGTGAGCAAGGAATAGGGATGGAGAGAACGATATTAAAACCAGAAGTATAATGACATATTCAAGACCACAATGACACTTTGAAATTTCTTATTTAAGCCCAGTTGTGGAATTTATAGTTTTAAACACTTAAGGGGGTGACGTTCTTTCCTCTCTGAAACCTGGATTTGAATAGTCCAATTAATCAAATCTCTTAATTGGCTATTAATTAATTAAAATCAGGAGTATTGACCTGGTCCATTGCTACACCAAATGGACTGTCAGCTGCAAACAGAATTCATCTGGTGCAGAAAGAGCTCTTCTGGGGTTGGAAAAGCCTCCTAGACCCAAGCTTCCCTTTGGTAAAAAAAANTTGTTTTGGAAATAGCAAGTACCTTCATCAGAAACACAAGACACAATACCCCCCATCTATATGTTGACCGAGCAGCTCGTAGGAGGTAAGTTTGTGCTCCTTCACTCTACACCATTGGAGACAATGAAAACACTTAGTTTTGTGCAATGGATGCAAAATATCAGATGGATAGAAAGATCTTAACATTCTTCTTCTGAGGAAAAGGAATACATTACCCCTTGGTAATCCGGGTGCACTGCAATACGAACAATACGTCCTCCAGACAGACTTCCAAAGTCAGGATCCTGAAACTGTAAGAAATAAGGCTCCATGAAATCAAACAGCAATTAAAAAAAGGGCAGCATTCCAGGGTTTGCTCTTGCTGGAGAAATCTACAGAATCTATCATCTTTACAGTCAGATGAACCAGCAGAATAACACAACAGTTTCTGCATCTACTGGTTTGAAGTGTTTACACAGTTAACAGCCTCTAGTGGTAGCAATTAAAACGTACAATTGCAGTATTCAGAACCTGTACATCTTTTAGTGGAACTGTAGGTTTTTTATATGGTCAACAACAACTTACATTTACACAGTACCCCTCACGCTGGGTAGCGTCCCAGAGCGCTTGACAGTGGCAGAGCATTCCGCCAAGCCAGGGGGAAGGGGAGGTGAATGTAGTCATGGTTGAAGAGGAAGGTATTCAGACACAACCTGAAGATGGGGAAGGAAGGGGCAAGGTGGCGGGATAGAGGAAGAGTGTTCCAGAGTTTCGAGGCGTAGTGGCTGAAAGCACAACCACCGATGGAGAGTACAACAACAAGATTCCATTTATAGAGCGCCTTTCACGTCGGGAATACACCTAACGTTCCTTAATGAGATTGGATTCACAGACAATGCTTTGCATCACTCACTCTAAAACCAGACTTCTGAGGAAGTTTGGATCCAATTTTTTGAAGCCAAGCAAATAAAACTACAAGAGGATACTGTGCGGTCCATCACTGTACCTGCTCTGACACAGTCCAGGGAATGAGATCTCCAAATGCTTTCTTCCCTCGAGAGAGACTGTTCATCACGGACTGACGGGATATCTCCCCCTCGAGACACACCTGGATAAAGCAAAAGCGAAATACGTGTGAAAAGAAGGGAGTTTCTCCCGATAATTTAGCCAACAATCCCCAAATAAATTGGTCATTCATTTCATAGCCGTGGGACATTGCTGTGCGTAAACTGGCTGTCATATTTGATCTAATACAGTCACTGCATTTTACAGTAATTCTGTGAAGAAGCTCTTTAAGACAACATGAAAGGAGCTGCATGAAATCCAAGGATTATTATTATACTATCCTTTTGATTGAGAAGGAATGGCGGCAAATCTTAACACATTAAATTGCAGTACTTTCATTGGAAGCGCCTTAAATCATGCTTCTACGCGATACTGAATTTGTACGTTACCTGAATGACGGCAAGCACTTCGGGCAAAGAATTCTGAGTGGACTGCACTGGGGGCAGCAGGCAGAAGAGATGGTGAGCAGGAGCATCCGAAAGCAATTGAAGGTCGTTAGGAGTGTTCTGTGGAGATGTTGATAAAGGTTTAATTAACACATGCAAAGTAATTCTCAAAGCAATAGGCTAAAGGCAAGGCATAACCCTCTTAGCTCTCAAGTAATGTATTTCCTTTCGACTTCCCATACATCCAGAATGCACTGAAAGTGATAATTTTTACTGTAAATGTCAAATAAGGAAAATTATAAATTTGGTATAAACGTTCCAACTTTGCCACTAAGATCCAATTTAAAATGGATCAAAGATTCAGAAAATAATCCACCATTGATCCTGCAAAAAAAATGTGGTTTGATAATCTCCTGAAAGAATGAAAATTACATTAGAATGAGCTTGAAAGGCATTTTAGATTGATATAATTCCACGGTTTACCTTGTAATGTGATGCTACATACAAAGCCATCATTCTCTGCAGGAAAGCCTCAGACGCTTTGTGATAACAGAACAGCGTGTCCCTTTTGACATAATAACTGTAACAGCAGTTGAGGAAAAGAAGCCAGGCTGCAAATATCATCTATCTTCAAAAAGTCATATTATAATAATACTTGAATTTGATATAACACCTCATCGTGTCTTCGAGACGTCTCAAAGCGCATCACAGAATATACTGTAAAGTGGATTGACTGTATATTTCATGGGCGAAACAAGGCAACCAATTGTGCACAGCAGTTATTAACAGTGAACCCTCTTCTTATGTCATCCTTATTAAGAAGTTAAGTCAGGTGACAGATTCTGAGTGGACTGCACTGAGACTGAGCAGAGCCACATGCTCCAGTTGCAAACCCTAATGTTTATTAAATTGGTTAAGTTTCCAAGAAACCCGATAGGGCCACAGCAGAATGAGCTGATGTACACACGCATGAACTAAAACTCACTCAAGTCTCAGGGAAAACCTTAAACAAAAGTGAATTAAAGTGCCCTGACCACATGAAGATTGCTAAGCAGACACTAAGATCTAAGCAGACACAGAGATCTTTTTACGAAGCTTCCTCCCTCAGTACAATCTAGGTCCAGAAATACATTTAGGATATTCATTGAAACTGGCTGATGGATACAGGTCGCAGGTCTCTGGGATCGGGCAGCCCGAGATGATTCGGGGGATGTTCAGACAGTTTAGACACAGCAGCTCATTCAGCCACTTCTCCACCGGGTCCCCAGGAGCATAGCGAATAGACTCGTGTAAAGTCACCTCGTGCAACGTCCTCACTGCCAACAAATTACAATTAAAGCAAATCAGGGATTACATTAATACTTTCTGGAATTAGGCAAGCAGGATGCATCCCTCTAAGGAGAACATGCATTCCATTTCAGACACAGGAAAATGTCCATGTGTAAATAGCATACGTATGTGGAACTCTCAGTCTGGTTTTGATACTGTCAGACAACTGGATGACAAAAAAAATGTAATCAAACAATCTTGAAAAGGTTAGAAGTTTCTTTTTACAATAAAACAGCATGACTGTTAAATGTATTGGACCAGGCTGAGGAATGTGGAAAGCCAGTGTATTACCTGTGGTCAGTTTGGCAGTGGAAGTGGTTTTATTCTCTGCAGTCATGTTGCTCTGGCTTTGAGCGCTTTGCTGTCGCAGCTGTTGAATCAGTTTTAAAGAGAGAGAGCGCCCTGTTCCTTCATATCTGGAAAGGCAGAATAATTGTAAGATGGAAGATGCTATAAGTAGCTCACTTATAACCAGAGTGCTGCATAGGCTTTCAAATGCCTCTCACCACAAACTATTTTCAACTTAATAAGTCAAGTCATAGAAGGTTGCATCACAGAATCAGGCCATTTAGACCATCAGATTTGCGCTGCTTTTCTCCATGTGTGTCACTCCTGTTCATTCTCCATACCTTTTTGTATTCTTTCTAGAATTTTAGCATTGGAATGAATAATCCATGGGATTGAAGTATCAAAGCTTCACCAATCAATAAAAAAAANTCCTATGGCATCATGCTCCCAACTAAATAAATTGCATTATATTGGAGGAAGTTAAAACATGAATAATAAACCACAAAAGATGTTTTAGACATGATAAATTAAAGTACTAATTTTACATAAGATAGAGAGTAAAGGCAAAGAAAGCCATGTGATCTACTGATCATCAAGCCAAAGTAATCTCCAATCCTGATAAGATTAAACCACAGTGATATCAGGGAATCTACTCAAGAGTTCCATTTCTAGTTTATCCCTATTTTGCAGTGCTGCTTTATACTATCATCAGCTAACTTACCCATTTATAGTGGACGACATAAAGACAAGATAGGGTCCCAGTAAGTTCTTCACCAGTGGCAGTGGAATGGCAGCTGCCTCATCGATTACCACTAGCTCAGCCTGTCCCAGTTTTACAGCATCTGCGGGGTGGATATACTGGCGAAAAAGAGAAAAGAAATAATGTAATTATGTGATCTTACTATACGTGCTCAGTGTGGGGGAAAAAAAAGCCCATCAATACAAACAGCTCTCACACTTAAGTTAACTTTCCAATGAAAGAAGGGGCAGAGTATTGCCTTACCTGGATGGTCTGCCTGTGCTCTTTATAGATGTTGACTCGGACCACAGCTTTGTTGAACTCTGGATTTAAGGATTGGATTATGTCATAGTCCAAATGTTCCTTTGAGAAAAAAAAATCAGTTTATAGAATCAGAGAACTTTTAGCTATTTGGCCCATCATACTTGTGCTGTGCTAACTCCACACTAGAGCAATCCAATCCCATTTCCTTCATATCTTCAAACTGTTCAACAGTTTAACTAAATCCAATTTAAATATCTTAAAATTTCCAAGTGCTTCAAGTAGGTAACTCACAGGATCTGGCTACTGTGAATTAAAACATCATGTATTTGTGTCATACCTAAACAAGAGTTAACACCAAACTCAAGTCCTGAAAATTAACATTAATGACAAGAACTTGTCTTTTCAATGATAGCTACTGATCTTTACACTAATGGACTCGTTCTCACCTGGTATTGCAGTGCATCAAAACCCTTGAAAATAAATTCAAACAGAGTGTGCAGGTTGTCTGGGCTCGGTGACGTAACAAAGATATTAGAATATCTAAAAAGAGATGAAGCAAAGATTCAGGCACTACAATCAGTTACATTACCAAATTTGACATAAATCAGCTTTAAAACATAAACTAATTGAGTGACAAGAGCAACGTCAAGAGCAAAGAAAGAGCTTGGTGAAATTTAGGGTTATAAATTGTTAAACATATTAGAATATTTTTCAAACAATAAAATCAACTATGTTCAACAGGTGTACAGCACAACCAGGAACTGAGTCTGTGACCTTCTGGTCTGGTTGGTTTCACGTTGCATCAGGTAATGTCTTTACCCACTAGGTCATTGGGATCATCTCTTTTTCCATTTTGACATGCACCCATTCTCTTGTAACACCAAACATCCATTATTTTCCTTCAATCAGAGATACACATTGGTATTCTCCTGAATTAGGCTCTGCTCATGTAGACATGCACTACTTAGCAACCTTTCAGAACGCTAGTAGGTACAGTGCTAGCAACCAAAGTGCCAAATCTCACACCAATAAGCACCAGTTGACTAAGTAGTTGTAAATCTAGAAATTGTATGGGAGTGTTTGCCCGCAAATAAATGAAATCATAGCAGAAACATCTGAGTACTGAGAAATAAAGCAAGATGATCATCGAGTGAGCAAATGACAGCACATGCCCTTACCCAAAGGCCACTGCTCCTGCAATAGCCAGGCCCAGGGCAGCAGATTTGCCCCGACCTCTTGCTGCAGTTAAAGCCACCGTGCTTCTCAGCGTCTTCTCAGAAATAGCTTCGATGAATTTCAGGACTGCTTTGGCCTGTTAAGTACAACCAAAACTCAATCAAAAAAACTTGCAAGAAAACCACAATTATTCCTAAATAACTACGACACTCAATTTGCTTAAAGACCATCTCGGCCAGGAAAGGCACAGATGCTGCAATCATCCAGTAAATTGCCTCTTTGGTGAGGTCTGAACTGCTGTTTCAGGACAACAGACCAATGAACAAAATTCCACTGAAATATAACTAATGCACAAGGCGTTATGGTCCAGTGAAGAACCCACTACACCACATCAATGTTTCTGTCTCATTTCTATAGAAGTCATTTTTTTNCTACTTATCGTAATGAAAACACTTTTCAGTTAAGTTTACAGTATTTTGATTTCCCAACTAAATTCCATGAATACAATCCTCATATATTACCAGGTTATTAGTTTAGTAAATCAGAAATTTTAAAGGACTTCAAAACCATCCCTATTGTTTCAATTGAAAAATAAGTTTATACAGTATTTATTTCCTAAAGTTACGCAAAACTTTAAAATCAGTTTGGACAACAACAACAAGATTACATTTATATAGCGCCTTTCACGTCAGGAGGATGTCCTAAGGCGATGGACAACGTACAGCATAAAAGAAATAAACCGTACCTGTATTTTACAAGCGCACACATCATACCTGATCAAGAGTTTTACAGCTGTCTACTAAGACTCCAACTGGCTGTGTGTCACGCAGAGATTCTTTAAGTTCCTTCAATTCAGTCTCTTGAGGTGATTGGCTTTCATCCTTAAAGAAAAACAATTGTTCAGACAAGTACATCAGCATTGAGGAACTCTAGCTCAACTCCAATATCTATTCTGCGAAGGTATCTTGATGCTAGAAATGCCCAACAGTTCATTGAACACATGAAGGTCAAGTAGGTCTGACTCTATCTGACCTTCTTTATCATATACAGGGCTTCACAAGCTCAGCCTTCTAGTTCCAACAAAGTGTCAGAACCGAAATGCTGATCTTTCTTTCTCTTTCAGATGCTATTTGACCAGCTGTCTAATGACTGTAGTGTTCCAGCTACATCTATTTGAATATTACGGTCGGGTTAAGTAATTGTTTGGAAGTCCATAGTAATGTTGAAGAGGAAGTAATAGGTGGTTGCTTCATTGATTACGAGAAGATATTTAAGCCCAAGTGAGTGTGGAATGCTGCCAACTCCAGAACTCACCATGGATTTAGGGGGCACAGGCTGGATGTTGAGAATGTGGCTCGAAAGTGGTAGAATGTCCAGGAGATCATTGATAACAATGCAGTTCTTACAGGATGACAAAGAGAGGATAAACCTGGAAAGAGATTAGAAAGTTAAATGTTTATTCACATGAGCTTCATGCTTTTTATGTACACTCCATGTTGAGAACATTTCAGATCTCCTACCTTTCATTGAATCGCCCAACAACATCCTGGTGTGCCTCTGTTCGGTAGCGGGCATGAACATCCTAGAGAAGGAGTTAAAGAGAAAAGAAATCATTATTAAAAAATCTATACGTTAAAGACCATTGGGATTTTAGTGAGTCAAGAAACTTGAGCATTGCTTGACACCATATGTATCAAGTGGATGAAAGCTTGCCCTCCAACAGTGAGGGTGGAGGGAGCACTTTGAATGAATATGAATAGTCAATAAACCAACACGTACCATTGTCATTGTGTAGAGCTGTTTCAGGGAGTTTACTGTTCTCAGTAGAATTACAACAATTCCACCTCCTTCGACTGTCTCAACAGTCCGGGCCAAGAGATTTGGAGTAAGAGCCTCAAAATCCTAGAAGATAAAGAGGGATGAATGGAGCAACGGGTAAATGTGTTTAAAGGGTACTGTATACACATTATAAACAAATAATACTTGATAAAATTGCTTGGTGTACGACTGTTTGGAGCTTTAAAACTGGAGCAAAGATTGCTGCTGATCGAGAAATCCCACACATTTAATGGTTGAAGCCAAATAATTAGATGTTGTAGCCTAAGCATTCAAACTAATTGACAATTCAATCTAGACACACAGTACAAACTAAAATCAGACTTCGTATCACTTCCAACCTGCATCAACACAGCAGACACCAGTGACATATCAATATGCCTCAGCCAGGTGGCCATCCTTTAAATGCCAGCCCAGAGAGCGAGTGTCACTGGGCTATTTAACTTAAGAACAGTATTTTAATTGTAACATTTAATCGCCACATTGTTATTTTGTCACAGTTCTTTATAACAGTAAAATTTCTACATTTTTAAATGAGTGAAAGAATTTGAAACACAACGAAAACTCCCAAGCAATCGCATCAGTAACTGCTACAATCTCACCTGCAAGATACACATCCCGAATGTGTTGCCCAGGATTTTGTGAGTCTCGTTGTAATAGCAATATCGAATGTTAGTTGCAGCGACAAACAGCTCAAAGGGATCATCGTGTTTAAGATCAAGCGTGCCACTTTTAATCTTCTTCTGCAACTGCCTCATTCGCTTCTTCCTGTGACTGTAAGACAAACAGATAAATACCAGTTATACAACAGCTGCTTCCATTCTTGTGCTACATTCAATAACTTTCCTATCAGCAAATTATACTGGAAAGTTCACAAACATAAGCCACACTACTGACTCTTCCTGTTTATTAACAATATAGTAATATGTATATTATCACATCAATTCATATAAAATCCACATAGTTTCCCCCTTATTTGGGTTGGAATTATGAAGCACATCACTGATTACCTGCTGAAGCCAAGCTCCTTCTTGTAACACCACAGCACCGTTGGTCTGGCCTTTACTGCAGCTTTGGACAGCATGTGATGAAGTATAACCACCTACAGAAACAAGACAGGAAAACACCAAATTACTTCATACAATTAATGTGTTGTTCACCTACAGAGAAGAACATTTGTACACCAATTATTTGGTGCAACACAAGTCACACAGAGTAATTCTTCTCTTACTCTGCCTTCACCCTGACTTCCAATAAGCAGCCTTTAAGGAATGTTTGAGACGACTGTTATATTTCCCACATCTACACCATCTGTCACATTTATATTTGTACTGACAGGGTTCTATTGGAACAAATTCCAAAAGGATTTTGCAATACAAAGGTGTCAAGACTGGTTCAGTTGGTAGCGCTCTTGCCTCAGAGTCAAAAGTTTATGAGCTCAAGCCCCACATTGGGTCTTTGAATTACTGCTAGATTATGGACCGTTTCGTGCTGTTAGCTCACACTCACTAACAACCACATTAAAGACAATGTACTGGATTCAAACATGAACACAAGACGTGAAAGAACTCCAGAAAGTGGATTTTAATCATATTTCAAACAATATTTGAAGCCAACAAAGTGCCTCACAAGATTTTACTGTAATGTGTAGTTTGTGTAATGTAATTCTGCCCGCACACTGACCAAACTCCGTACCCGCATCTCACCAGCTCTGGCTCAGACTCCACTGGCTCCCCATTGCCGAACGGATGGACTTAAAGATCCTCAATCTCGTGTTCAAATCCATTCACTCCCTGGCACCTCTCTACTTCTCCGACTTCCTCACTCCCCAATCCACCACCCGGTGCCTCCGCTCGACGGCACTGTCCTCCCGCTCATCCCTCGTACCCACCCCACCATCGGAGATCGTGCTTCTAGCCACTACGCCCCCAAACTCTGGAACACTCACTCAATCACTCCGCTTTGACCCCTCTCGCCCCTTTCAAGTCCGGCCTGAAGACTTTCCTATTCGATTGTGCTTATGGCCACCCCCCCCAGCTTGGAGTCAGGCTCCGCCACAGTTAAGCGCTCTGAGACGCTGCGTGGAGGGCGCTATATAAGTGCAAGTTGTATTTGTAGCCGAATGATGCGGCCAATTTGTGCGAGAAATGTCCGACAAACAACCAATGAAGCAAAAGACTAGTTATATCTGAAAGATTGTTGACTGGGACCTGGGACAAACTGTCTTCTGCTTTTCAATAGTACTACGGGATCTTTTAACGTTTACCTGAACAGGCAGACAGGACCTCTCCTTGGCTGCATCATTCTTTCCCAGCACTGTAATGGAGTATCAGCACAACCAGTTCTTGTCCTTACCTGATCTCTGCCATGATCTCCCACGATGACAACCATGGTCCTTTGCTTCTGCGCCATACCATTGTCAATAAGTACCCGGATACGGTTGTCTACTTTCTTCCTGAACATGACGAAGTTCGCAGCAGCACAGACAAAATATGGCCACAGCTTCTGCAGTAAACGATCAATGAATGGAATACGTTACAACAGTTCCTAAATAGTGGTCTGAACTGACATCTGCACTTACGTTCACCCACAAACATGCAGTCGCTGCTACTCGCAGACACGTTGAGAAGTGCTTTGAAATGTTTTTGACAGTATCCCAAACGCAATGGACTCTTATCCATTCCGATCCTTGGGGTTTTCCCCCCATCCTTCACTACTCTTATCCCACTTATCCTTCTCTCTCCCAAACCCAGACACTCACTGTCAGCCCCTGGGAGGGGGGAGACTGAGCCACAATCACACATCCTCTCCCACCTTCTCTCTCTCTCTCTCTCTCTCACCTCTTCTCTTTCTCTTTCACACGCTCTTTCACTCACTCTCACTCTCTTACCCCTTCTCTTTCTCTCTCACGCCCTCCTTCACTCTCTTTCTCTCTCACCCCTTCTCTTTCTCTCTCACTCCCTCTTTCACTCACTCTCTCTCTCTTTTTTTCTCACCCCTTCTCTTTCTCTCTCACTCCCTCTTTCACTCTCTCTCTTTCTCACCCCTTCTCTTTCTCTCTCACACCCTCTTTCACTCACTCACTCTCTCTCACACACTCACTCCTCCCTCACTCCCTCACTCACCCTCTCTGTGGCACATGGAGCCTCACCCTCTAGGACCCTCGTGTGGACGCTCCTCCGCCGCCGCCGGTTGCCTGATCGCTGACTTCCGCGCCTTCTCTTCTCCTCTCCTCTCCTCTTCCCAAACCGCAAGCCCTGACCCTGCAGCCCGGGCAGCGCTTTCCTTTCGCCCTCTGGGGATGTCGGGGGGGGGACCGGGAGAGAAGAGTCGGGAACGCGCGACCGCGGAATCAGGCGTTCGGCCCGGACGGCCGCTCGGGGGGGTCCTGACCGGGCAGCCGTCGCCCTGTTAATGACGCGACGCGAGGCCCGGCTGCGGGGCTCTGGGAGTGGGGGGGAAGGGACGCCGTCGCCATGGCAACGCACCGGATGACCACCAGGAGCTCCAGAGATCTCCGCGGCGGTGAGGTCGACATCCGTAATAATCATCATCGTTTAAATCATAATGAATAATAATAATAATAATAATAATCATAATCCTTGCGTTTGACACAGCGCCTCGTCCGCGCCTTCGAGACACGTCTCGAAGCGCTTCACGGAACATCCCGTCCGGTGAACCGACTGCGCGGCATTTCGCGGCCCATCGACCGACAACCGGGTTCCCACTCACTGCTGTGGGTCTACAGAGGCGGGTGGAGTGGAGTGAGGAACGTCGCTCGACGTTCCGCCCTCGGCCTGGAATCGAACCCGGGTCCTCACCCGGACACTCAACCCGGGAGTTGAGTGTCCAATTTTATTTTTGGGGGGTGTGGGTTTGTTGCGTCAGAACGCAGGGGGCGTGTGGGGGTGGGGATGGGGGTGGGTTGGGAGGGGGGTTGGGGGGGGATGCGGGGGAAGAGATAAAGTCTCTTTTCGAATCGTGCCATGGGATCTTTTAACGTCCACCTGAACAGAGAAACGGGATCTCGGTTTAACATCTCATCTGAAGGACGGGAAGACGAACAATAACAACAAACTGCACTTCACGTCAGAAGGACGTCTCAGGGCACTACAGTTAAGGGTTTGGATTTGGGGATTGGCCTCAAGAGGAATTAATATTCATGGCAACGCGAGACCGCAGAAGATGCCAGTCTTTTTCTCCCCCCCCCCCCCCCCTATATTTTACAGTATATCCTGTGAAGCTCTTCCGAGTTGTCTCAAGACATGATAAGGCACGATATCAAATGCAAGGATAATTGTTATTATTTTTTTCTGGCAGGCGGGGCGCCGGCTAGCGATCGGAAGCAGGAACCCAAGTTGATCTGTGGTGTGAGTTACGTGCCATCCACCGCATCACTTTGGGAGGAAGTCCCAACTTTTGTGTTGGTGAATTTGAAGTAAAACTGATATATTGCAGTAACTGAACTTTGTCAGGAGAGGGGGATCTGTCTACAGTACATTTGTTTCTGAGCTTTGGGTGGCAGAAATCCAGTACTACAGCATTAGGAAATCAGGCCAGCCCTTGTAAAATGCTGAATTGCTCCATTTGGCACTGTTAGTTCCTGGTCTGGTAGTCTTATTTCCGCTCTTCCCCTTATTAAAACACTTAAGTTATTAAATTTCAGAAAGTTCAGTTATGTGCCCTATTTATCCGTGGAACAATCTAGCAGATTTGCTGTTCAACCATCCAGTTTTCTTGCTCAAGAACATGGTGGCAGTTATGTTTGTGGTTGTTTTTAAAGCTTTTAGTGGGGACATTACATTGAACCTTCTTCTTGCTCCGGTCTCCAAAGTAAATCATCATTTCCTAAATTCCAGGGATCAACTCAGTCAGCAGACACTGACCTGGTGGGTCCAGGTTTAATAACTAATAGAAATTAGTTTGTTTCAGTTCAACTATTCTGCATAAGGCTCTGGGTGCATCACAGTATCTACCTTTGATGATTCTGGACCCTGGTTCACACCCAGTTCAAATTCTCACGTAAATCAAAGATTTGAGTTATGTGCCTCTGGTGTAAGAGCAAAAGTTAGTTACAGATTTGATCTCTGGTTTGTGGCTGATCTTAGCTGAGGCAGCAACACAGATTGTTTCAGATAGCTAAAGGATTCTTTGCAACAGTCATTGCTTTCATCTTCTTTTCCAATTTAATCTACAAAAATCTACCCATCATCTAGCTCTGCACTAAATACTGAAGTCAAATCCATATTAAACAGGTAAAAACAGGCCACATGTAAAATTATTTAAATCTTCTCCAATCTGTTCACTCATGTAGTTCCTGGGAAATAAATACAGAACTGTTGAAGACGACATTTATGACTAATTAGTTAATTCCAGATCCACAACTTCAAACCACCCAATTATTCCCCACCTTGCACTAGTTATATAGGATTTCTGATCCAGGAATGTTCAAAAGATTTTTTATTACTGTTCTTTAAAGAAAAGCAGCTGCCTGTGGAGGTGATTCTTCACTGGGCAAGAAACATCAATTTGCGAACGTTAGCATACAATGGGAGTCTCTCCCATTGTAAATTCAGATTCCGATAGTCCTCCACTCGAGTCAGTAAATTTAGTGACCAGCAGTAAATAAGTTTGCACATCAAGGTCAGTAAATGTACCTACAGTCCAGGAATTGCCCCTGAATGTTTTATTCTGCATATGATTTGTGAAAATGGTGAGTTTGCGATTTGTGTTGTTTGTGAATGTTGTTTGGACAAAACCATTTTATCCATTTCATTATTCAGTTGCAGAATGCATATCTAACTAACAAGTACTGCAAATCAGTTGTTTAGCTGCAGATGACAGCAACCCTTATCCAGTATTTTCTGGAAAACGACCAGTGTATTGATCTGAACTCAGCTGCAAACAGTGCATTCCAAAAGCTATTCTGGGAGAGTGCAGAACCGGGGAGAATAACACAGAGTAGCTTCAGGCCATCAGTAAAATGGTGTAAAGTTAAAGAACTCAGCGAAATTCGGCGATTCAATTTTTGTAAAACATTTTATTTAGATTTTCTTGTTACATCAGTGTGAGTTTAATTTTGGGGGGATTTTTTCATGTATATAAAAAGAATCACGATATGCAGTCACTGCAACAAAGGAGGGTCTGTTCCACTTCCTGGGACCAGCTGGATCGAAGAGGCTACAGGAATCCAAGAATTCTTATTGTTGTTTGTTTAGGGTTACGGTCTAAAATATTTCACAGTTGCATAAAAATCCCTTCCATTCGAAATGCGGGTGGGCGAGGCGGTTCAGTTTAAATCACTTCTTGTGCAGTCATCTGAGGCATGGCTACAATCTTTTTATTCATACCTCTGGGTCTCATCAGTCCCCGGCCTGAAAAACAATAGAAACAAAATTGAAATTAATTTACCTTCCCCTTACGGCTGAACAGGAGAGCACAAACGCCTCACAGGGTGAGACACAACTCACCCAGAATACAATGAGGGCAGAATTTTGTTTCTTCATGAAAGAAAAAGAATTGCCATGAACACAAACCTGCCTGTGTAGGTAGGCAACTAAATGTATTGATACAAAAAGGAAATTAGCGATCTTTTAACTAATGTAATAAATAGTAGTGGATGAATTAGGGCCATGATATCAATTTAAATCACAGAAGACATTCATTACCATACTTTGGTATTAAGACCTTCACAAGGACAGAAAGATAACGCTTCAAGCATTAAAGGCTCCCTATAATACATAGTTTCAGTCCCGTTCAGTACCTCAAAGTGGAACACATAGTGCATACAGATTAGGAAGGTGCCAGTCAGGTTTGGTCCATGGATTGTGTTGACAATCTCAGCATTTCTGGGTTAACAATCAATCAGGGTTGCTGCTCCTGATCACTGTTTTGTGGATGCTGTTAGAAAGCGTTGCAAACATGAGGCAAGGACCGTGTATTGGTGTTAAATTGATGTTATTAACCCAGAGTGTTCAGTGAACTTGGTCTTTCAACACTGCATCTTAATTTACTCCATTCACATGACCAGCTGAGGGACTGCTCCCATCTTGATTCCCCCATTGATGTCATCAGAACTCACCATTTTTGAATCAGTGTGGTGAAATAATAAATACTTGGATTTGATATAATGGCTTATCACATTGAACGTCCCAAAATGCTTCACAGAATGTGTTACTTTGAAGTATAGTGATGGTTATGTTGACAAACACAGTAGCTAACCTGTAACCAGCTACAACCCACATTATTAATTCCTTTAGTGAATTTGAATGGGAGAGGGATACTGGGCAAAACACAAAGGCAGCAGTGAAACGCAAAAGCATTTTAAAATAAAATAAAAATATATTACTCAGTATTTGTTTTGGCACACCTCATTTACAATAATGAGCTTCTTCACAAAGTATAATGAAGCCGTATTAAGTTCTGGTTTCCGAAAATACGACAGGATAAATTGTACTCTGCAACAGTTTCCAAATTGGGATGCACTTGTAAAAAGCAATCATAATTCTAACAAACACAGACCCAGCTCTTAGCTCAAGATAAAATACCACTGCAAGACCAAGTATTAAAATTGGGGAGTGGGAAGGAGAAAAATAAAGCCACGAAAATTGTGCAGCATTCTTGTCTATATGTAGATTTCAGACTGGCTATCTGGAGCTCGATAAGGATCGGTACATAGTGCACATGGACTGAAGTCTTCAGCCGAGATCAACTTACAAATTGGCCTACCTCCAACTCACTGAAAATAGACCAAGCCATTCATGTGAAACCACCATTCCAGACAAATGGCGCTGGTTGTGGATGGAACAATATCAAAGAAAGATGGTCGAGAAACAAAACCAAATGAGCAGCAGTGGTCTTGAACCAGCTTTGTAACAAAAGTGCTACCCATCACAGAGCAGGTTTCAATAGGAATTAGGTTGCCTTAAGGTCCCAATGAGAACGCAAATGCTGCTCGTCATTTTTATGCAAGGATGCGACTTCTCACGTGCGTGTAAACATGTATATATATCGTCAAGTGGCCTGCATAAGCGTTTTTACTAATTGGCTACTTTTATGGAAACTTGGTTGAAAAAAAAACTTCCAACAAAAAAATAACTGTTGAAACATGCAACATGTCATTAGTATACGATTATCTACTGTGTTCTTATTAATGCGACACCCATTATTGTTAAATGGAGTCAATTTGTTCAATTTCATGGCAGCTTTCCAAGTTACAAAAAGGGGTAAGTAGCAACTTAAACTATACAACCAGCTGAGTCCCATGGGAACAATACTGTATCTACAGCATGATTCTGATTCCATCTTCATTAGATGGGGCAGAAATTCAACTTATTAAGACCGAGCAAAGTGAGCTAGTTGGCTGCTAGCCTGAACACATCAATTCACATGAGCTGGAGACGAGTGTGAAATGAGTCCAGCATAAGAATGGACCAAACAGCCTGCAGTCAGCAATATCCCTACTCTTGCAGCTTATTTGTTTTGCTCACTTACAATGTGATGAATGGCAAGAAACTGCCCAAGTGACTGAAGGAAGCCAAGCAGAGGCAGACCACAGGGAACAAATACACAAAGTGATTGTAACAACAGAGCACTTTCTGATGGCTCTCTGTGCATGCCATTGCCATAAAAGGGTACATTCAATAATTTATTCCAGTCCCAGTTAAACTTCTGAGTAGAGTGGCGGGTACAAGCCCATGTAACTTTTTTGTGTGAAAGTGGAGATAATTGCAATGCTGACACCTCACAAATTTGACTTGCTGGTTGCTGGGAGCAGTTGGAAAAATTGCACTGGGCAGTGGTGCAAACAAGCAAATCTCAAATTTCCCACAGGCCTAAGTAAAGGGCTTTCACTGGCAAACCTCTCTCGGAGGGATGGACCGTCAAGTAGTTTTTGTCCAAAAATAAAGCCATACATTTTTTTACATGGCCTGAAGGAGTGCATTTACTTTTCATTAAATGTTACTTTAAAAGACTGGGGTAATTCTTTTATATCATTTCAGGGAAAGTATTTAACAGAAATCTAGAAACTTGGGTAGGAAAGTAATACTTGTAAAAGACCCTGTTCCGTTGCCAGGGTGATGATGCAAAACAAGGCTATTCCATGCTAATTAAGCTATAAAGATGCACTTTTTGAGCTTGCTTGGGCTGTTAAATTGTGCTGAATTGGCAGTATGCCAGTTTGATTCAATTTGACCATTCCTGTAGCCAAAAATGAAGTTGTTGCTATATTTCATTGATCTATTTGTTCAACGTAGATAAAATACAGATGTTCTCTCTTACAGGCACAAGTCCCTTCAGACTTTCCCAACTGTGAATAAATGTCCCTCAAATTACCAATTCATTTGAAATTTCTGATGTTTCCTAAGGATTTGACAAAATGAGTCCAAGTTTCTCAACTTTTGGGGAATAATTTTAAAGTGAGAATTTTCCTTTTTTAATTAAAAAAGGCCATAAAATAATTAGTTACCATACAATAAGCAGCCACTGCTTGAATTCTTAACATTACTGAAAATCAGGACTCCAAACCACCAAATAAAACAATTATTTCGCAGTTACAGAGACTTCTGTTGTGGGCAATTCAGCTACTAATCAACTGGAAATAGCTGAGTTATTTACTCCAAATGGATGGCTAAGCAACAGCTCGCAACTAATCTGTTCAGGGGTTGCTTGGTACAGGGAAGCAGAAGATTCCTATCAGGCTACGGTAAACAGCGAGTGCAGACACCCAGCAGATTTCAGCTGTCAAATGGGTTACATCAGGCAGGTCACTGAATACGCTGTGGTGCAGGAACATACTTGGGACAGCTCTTTCTACAGACCCTGTCCAGTGTCATCGGGGGGTGAAAAGATCAACAGTTTATTTTTGCTCTCATTGTGTTCATTTTGAAGCAAAATAAATCTAATTTATGCTAATTCCCAGTCTTGTGGCTACAGTGGCGTTGTGAGATTGTCAGGAGATTGATGAAATCAACTCCATTTCACAGAAGGTTGGGTTTATTTTATGTTGGCAGTGACGGTGGTGGGGGGGCGCTGTGGGAGAGTCTGGAATAGGATTGACCGATCTCCCCAAACAAGTAGGAACATAGGAACAGGCGTAGGTCATTCTGCCCTTCGATCCTGTTCCGCCATTCTATTAGATCATGGTTGATCTGTATCACAACGTCCAATACCCGTTCTGACCCATATCCCGTACTGAAGTGGACCACAAAACAAGGAAGAGGAAATCATACAACTTCAGTGGTAGAATCTCCTTAGCATGCTCTCAAAAACCAGAACTGGATGGATTTTCAAGCAAAGTGTGTATGGGTGTGTCGGCTTCCTAACCGACCAAAAACAAAGTAGGAAATCTGCAGTGCAGTTAAATGCAATGCTGCAAACCTCGGGAGTGAATAGGTCACAAGTGTTGCTCATAGAAACCATTTTTTGATTGTGGCTGAACCGCATTAAAATATTACAATGTTATATTATATTAAAATATTATAGTTTCCAAGCTTTAAAAGTTTGTCAATTTCAAAATGTTCAAAAGTTCCAACTTCAAAAATGCTGCAAAAGCGGAATACAAATCACTTTGTGTCTGACATTACTGTACAGAACCAGTCTTTCTTTTCAGGGTAGTTCTTTCCTGGCAAGTAAACACCATTCTTTTGTTCAAAAAATATATAGCTCCTTTCTCGCTACCTGTAACACTCCCATCTATGCACAACTGAAAGCTGCCAGGAATATAATGCTCCAATTGCACATTACAATTCACTCCAAAGACGACGGGGTGGGGGAATTTAATTATTTTGTAATGCAATACAGAACAAGATATAATACCATTAATGTGGAACACTAAGAAATTATCATCAACTCAGTTCAAGAGGTTCCAAAACTACATTTACAGGATTATTAAATTCAACCCAACAAATTAATAATGATACTTGCATTTGATATAGTGCCTTATCACGCCTGAGACATCTCAAAAAGCGCTTCACAGAATGTACTGTAAAGTGAATTGACTGTATATTTTGTGGGGGAAACTCGGTAGCCAATTGCGCACAGCAGTCTCCCACAAGCAGTCGTGGATTGAATGACCAAATCTTATTTTTTATTTATTTTTGAAGGGATTATTAACCCCAGAAAAAAACAATCCGCCAATTGACCAACCACCGGGTTCCTACTTACTGCTAGGTAAACAGATGTATGTGGGGTAAGGAAACGTGTCCTCATTTCACCCTGCATAGGCATCAAACCCAGGTCCTCTCGTTTGTGAGGCGAGTGCTCCAACCACTGAGCTACAGGACTCCCCGTGATTCCAGAAAAACAGCATTTGAAAAAACACTCATCATCCATAACCTAATGGGCCACTTTGTACACAATGCTCAACCAATTCAACAACCACACTTTACAGAACAGTTACCTTAATCCCAAATATCCAACATAAAACTCACTCATTCAGTTCAAAGACTTCACTAAATAATGCACTATAGACATCAGCACCACAATGAACAGCATCTTTAAGGAACATTAGGGTCGTCCTCTAAAGCACAAAATATTTCCAGGCAAGTTATAGACTGTACTTTCAATTCAACCTTGTTGCACACCAGTTAAAAGGCACGTCTACCTTTGTACAATATTGCTTTAAACTCACAATTCAAGTTCAATGATGGTGTAGCTTTTATTTAAGCAGAGCTGATATTCACGCCAGGAGACAGCACTGGCAGCTCCCCAGATTACATTATGATCCATAATGTAAACAAAAATATGGACAAGCACACATTTTGATTTGAGTTAGTTTGTTAGTTAAAGCACCATCACCAAGTTACACAAAAGGATGAAAACAGTACTAAAAACAGAATCCATACACAAACAGAGAAAAGTTATTTTCCCTGAAGCGACAAATAAGCATTTCGTCCAAAAGATACAAGTTATTAATGTTAAGAGCCATTTGCTAATGTCATTGTGCCAACCAAACAGTGAGCCATGGATAATTGTTTTAAAAGCCTCAGGATACTGCACCATATTTGACGGTGAATTTACCATGCAAAAGCAGGGACATCAATTCAGCTATTGTACAAGGTTTGATGCTTCATTGCATCAGGAGCTACTTAATGTTAGTTTATCCTTGAAATGAATCAATGCTGCAGTGATTTAGAGTCTTCCATTAGCATCCCTACACATTGGGCTTAAGTTTACTTGACAAACTGCAAAACAAAAGTTCCCCCCTCCTACTCAGGTTAGTTTGTAAAGACTCACATCTTTCAAATTATATGGGAATGGCGAGTAAAGTACGAAGCAAGGTCACCAATTGAGCATTAATGAGATTTTTTGATTACGAAACCCATCAATTATTTGAGAATTAATACTTATCTGTTTCAGATTTTCTCAGTTTCTGTAAAATCAGCAATAGTTTCATTAACGATTTAGTTCATAGACATGTATTTCAGAACTATATTAAACACTTGAATCTGAACATTCTAAGTGGCATTAATTCCTCTTTGTAAAGCAACCCACTATTGCAATTGGAAGTACACAGGCAGAAACCCACAGCATTAAATCCTGAGAAATCTGGAAAATTCTGAATCAATCCCACTCCCCGAAAAGTTGGGTCATGTTTAATCCAAATTCAGAGCTGAAATCACCATTAATGATTCTGCATTCAAATTACCTCCATAAAGAGTAGTTTATGCTGTCACCTTAGGACTTCCTACCCAATGAAGCCCACTGTTTAAACACAAAGCTGTTCTTCCCAATAACTGGGGGAAGGAGGGGGGGGGAAGAGAAGGAGATAGATGAGGACATTGGACAAGCAGCACTAATAACTTAGCAAATGGAAAATTATCCTGAATTTGAAATTGAGAATCCTGCTTTCCTTAGGGAGCAATTCAAAATCAGCTATGAATTTTCACCTTGAAGGAACACAGATGGGCAAGTCTGGTCGAGCTATGCTGCCTGACAAAGAACTAGAGCGTGCAATAGGGCAGATCGAGAATATGCAATTGTGTTGTGTATCCCATACAGACAAAGGAAGCCATAGCAAAACCCGAGAGTTAGCACACAAATGCAAGTCAGTCAGACTAGGAAAAATTAGCTGCATTTCCTGGAACAGTGAAGATTGGGAGACCCCAACAACAAAAAATTAACCCTGTACTTTCAAACTCCCCAACCATTTGCTACCAAACCATCAGTTTAACAATCATATAATTTTCAGACCTGCACAGGTGGTGAAGACAATAGGACTCTAGCCTTGTCCCATGACTTTTAATATGTTCAGCAGACCTGTACATTGAAAATTATATCCTGCAATATTTTTGCTCCAACTTGTTACAACTTCATAACAGCACCACTTGTACTCAAACCTAGAAAACCTACTCTAACCAAAACAAGGTTTTAATATAGGAACAAATCATGGGCTACAAAGGAATGCGATAGACATGCATCATCCAGTTTTCTCAGAACTTTGTACAGTTCTATTAAGAAAACGCAGAAGATTAATTTCTACCAACAGTCCTTATCTTTACACCACCACTTGAAGGTACAGGCAGCAGGCATTCATGGTTGGGGACAATATGCTAACCGTGATTTGTACCAATCATAAGACATTCAAAAAAAAATATTTTTTTAAATTGAATTTAGTAAGAAAAAATCTCTATGCAATTTAAAGTCCTTAAAATCACGTTTATACCGATTACATTTTGGGTGAAGGGAGCTTGGGATTCCAACAGAGGTGGAGCTGACACCTACTTTCAATTACAGTAGATGGTTAATTAGCAGTATTAATCAGAATTTTTTTATAACAACTGCAAATTTCCTTTGGTTCCCAAATATTAACAAGTGATTTGGCAATGGAGGGTTATTTTACAAAAGATTCAACATTTATCTTCCTTAATTATTGTCCTTAAATGTACCAGAAGCCCTCCCCACTATCAATGGTAGCGTTCATTAAGCGTGGTTGTAAACACCAGCATTTAACATTGATTGCTGGGGTTTGACTGCAGATTAGTAGGAAACTAGCTACTCTTTTCAGTTTAAAAAGCAGTACCCTGCTAAGAGGTTGCAATCCATAAATCTGTTGCCTTGGACCCAGATTGTGGATATCACCACTGATAATAAGGGAGGGAAAGAGGGAGAAGAATTCCATCTCCAGATATCCACAAATCAATGCAATAACTTTCCAATCCATTATTAAACTGGACCCTATCTATAATAAATTGGTTTCCAATCATCTAGCCTTTCCCCACCATAGTGCAGATGTAAAATAATGCTCACACCTCTAAGCACTGAATGTGAAAAATCCCACACAACTTCCAATCGTATAGCATTACAATTCTGTACAGGTTGGTGACTGTTGCTAACATGAAGAAGAGCCGAGCCTGCTCTGTAACCTTGAGGCTACTGCATTCTTACTTAAAAAACAAACACACTGCTCGTTGCTGGAAATGCAGTCAATTTTCCCACTAAGCCAGAGTGAGCAAATGGGAGACAGACAAGAAGAGGAAAGACAGACTCCACAAGAACAAACGGACAAAAAGAAATCAGCGACAAGCTGCAAGTGTGCAACACATCTTTATTGAAACTTTCTCTGATGCAGCAACATCAATTTACAAACTCAGACTTCTCGGGAGCTCTAAAAGGCAGAGAAGAAAAAGAAATACAGCCTCATTTTAAAAACCAGTGAATCAAACATCCGCAAATGAAATTTATCAAAATACTCCCAGAAAGGGACAAGAAGTGGCAGCATAAAGATGGTAAGAAATTTTCTTTTTTTNACAAAAAAATAAATTAAGGAATTTTCAAGTTTTCAGGAACAAAACTGACATACCATTTGCTCTCTTAACACAGGCATCATCTCTCCCTCTCTTTTTCTCTCTATGCTGATGCAAGAACTACCAGAAACAGTTTCTGCTCAGGTTAAGAATTGAATGTGGTTATTATAAAGCAGGGTTTTTTTGTTCGAAGCTGACAGAGTAAAAACAAAGATTAAAGCTTCAACAAAAATGTTCTGGGTGGGACATTTGAATCGATTTTACGTGGTGGCCTACTTTTAAGAGTAAAAGTTTACTTCGGCAACTCCCTCTAGAACGGAGCAGCGTTGTGGCTGTGAAACAAAGTTAAGCACTGCCCAATATTTCAGTTTCTCCAGTCCTTCATTACGAACGCATCACTTGAGCATTACCTCGAGGGGTGCCCCGAGGTCCGCCAGGTCCAGAGCCACGTTTGAAGTTTGGTTGGTATCCGTCCTACAGAAACAACATCTCGTTTAAAAAAAAACTTTGGATCAACAAATGAACCCACAAAAGAATCTTCCAGATTCAATGTACACACAAACTGTTTGTTCAAAATTCAATCAAGACACAAGTATACAATTCCACCTGCATTTAAAGGAAACCAACCATAACTAAACTCCAGAATTGTATTTGTGTTGGCAGTGAAACAACAGTCTATTAATACCAAAGTAGAAACATTCTGCTGATCCACCAACCAAATTTACAGACAAAGTATCGCAGGGTTAGTGCAAACAAGGCAATACATGAAAACTAGATTTTTTTTCAACAAGACTATTCATTTCTCTGGATGTTTCTGATCAGTAACTAGCTGGAGGCATTTTCCCCAAGGGTCAGGATCTTCCAATTTCAACAAAGGGAGAGGAGGCTCAAAGAGTTGAAAGATTCTTAATGTTAGATCTCTACACAGGCTAACTTTCCACATACATTTTCAGTTGTGGATTCTAAAAGTAGTCTTAAGTGAATATTTCCAAGACAGATAGAACCAGAGGGGTAAAATGTCCTGTCCCATTGATGACATGATAAACACATGACATTGGGATGTTTTTTTCATCCCTGTATCATGCAATGGGGAACTGATCTCTTATTAAATGGCATGGAAGATAACAGAACATTCAGCACCTTTGGTTAAAATTGAGAGAATCAGATGAATATCCTTCCGAGGCTAAATTTGAAATGTTTATCTACACTTCCGTCCTGCCTGCATTAAAAATGAGAGGACCAGTCTTATAAAATGTCATGTACATCTCTAACTCCCAAGAGAACCTTCAATGTAGGAAAAGTTGATGGATTACTGAATTTACTAATTGTCAGGTAATAATCGTTTTCTCCCCTTTTGTCTTTATAACGTAACATCCAAATATACTGAATTTTCTAGGCAATGCCTTCTTGCTTAGGAGTGTACATGGCCAATGTGAGCTGAAGTCTACTTACACGTTGGTAGCTAGAGTTGGAGTAGTCACGAGCCGAAGTAAACGGAGACTGTCCATAGCCGCTGTTTGGAGTGTTTGAAAATGGAGGGCGGTAGCTGTCATATCCACCTGGAAAACAAACATCAAGTTAGGAAAGTTACGAGTTCTGATGTGAATTATGTTAGGTAATTTTAAGATGAGAAACCAGATTTATATCCTATCAAAATACTCAAGAGCTACACGGACTAATTACCAGAGACTTGAAATGTAAAACCTGAGGTAATTTTAACAAACCAATGTGGTTTTCAAGGAATTTGACAGTTCAGTTTAAAAAGTTTGATCCAAAAAAACTTCAGTAAGGCTAGTTCCAAATGACTGGGTTCATTTTTAATCAGTAATTAAAACAACCCAAAATTTCCTCTTGTAGTCAATCTTCTCTTCTTAAGGCACCAGCTCTGGCTTGAATGAGGGTAGAGGAATGGAAGAAGCTGCCCTGTGGTGGCCCCGGACAGCTCTACGGTACTATTCCGTGTGTAAGCAAAGACAGTGAGGAGCTATTTAACCTTAGAGAGCACCTCAACTAAATCAGTTCCCATTCTTCAAACTCCAATCATTTTACAGTTGGTTCCTGAATAATAACGAAATAAAGAAATTCAGGCTTACTTGCATACTCCCTAGGCCTGGGGTACTGAGGCCAATCTTTTAGGTGATGCCCCAAATGAGTCTCTCAGTCGAAGGGGATCCGTTACTCAGCACAAAATCCAACCTGCAACCCTTCTTATTTTTGCATAGTATTACATCAAGCAAAGCTTTTATCAATGAAGCTGTTGGGGGAAAAACCTCATCAAGGCTCCAGTTAACACTCTTTAAGTCCCCTTCTTCCAGATCAGAGTATTCAATTTATAAAACCACTGTTTCCTTACACTCAGGAGAAAAGCTGTATGAGTTTCAATATTTACAGTATCCAACATTTTCTCTTGAGGGAGGGAGTGAAAGGAGAAACGATCTCCTACCTCTGAATCCATTAGTAGGTCCCCGATAGCCATTTATAGCTCCACGCGAGTTGCGTGGTCCACCACGAGACACTCCCCTGCTGTTGTAGAAAGCCTGGCCTGTGCGTTGGAAGCCAGCATTCTGCTGGATTTGCTGGGATAGTTGCTGATGAGCACCTGCCGCTGGGTGCGTTTGGTCTTGAGATGTATGGTAAGGACTCACTAATGGACAAAAGCAAACAAAGCAAGCATTGGTACCATGTACTTTAAAGCATGCCCACTTATACCCTTCTCCTTCTTAGCAGAATGCTCGCCAACTGATATTAATAATCATCTTCCCAATTTGTTATTTTCTCACAGAAATAGCTTAAATGAACAAAAGCCAAAGTTCCAATTAAAATGCAAACTCACAAGAACGTGAGTAATGTGGATAATATCCTTGCATTTGATATAGTGCTTTACCACATTGCCAAAATGTGGTAAAGCACTATATTCTGCTTCACAGAATTAACTGCATTGATTGCCGATGAGCAGACAGTTGGCTGTCTGCTGTATGTTAGATTCATCTGCAATGGTAAATATTTAGATGAACCGCTTACCAGTTGTGAGAGTCTCCTGCTGTAGTTCAGACTGTTCCACTTGGTGCTGAGGCTGGCTGCTGAAACCTTGGGTGTAGCTGGCCTGATACGGACTTTGCTGCTTGAGAGCTTCAGGCTCACTGGCCGGAGGCACTGGTGCGTTCATATTAAACACCTGCAATTAGAAATGAGGGAAAAGTTGATGAGTAAAGCATTTGTAAAATCTGATTAACAGGCTGTAATGTACAACTACTGCCACACAATTAAATTCGACAATCCTGGCTTAATAGGTGCTGGGTTTGACGAAAAGGTTAAAAAAAATCTATCAGCAGCTACTATTCTTGAATTGTTATGACACCATCACCTTACCGTTTGCATTGACTGGAATGGAGCAGCATTCACATTTATACCACTGCTGTGGAGGGGTTTGCTGGGAGGAGCTTGAAAAGCTTGCGACTGGGAAGCAACAGGAATTGCTGTGGAGGTTGGGGGTTGTTCAGACGCCAGTGACATTGTAACCTGGAAAGTACAAATGTTGAGACTTAATACAACGTAAACAAAGCCAACAAACACACCACTACCAAGTCCATAAAACTTAGCAATAGCCTTAAGAGATATATTGAAAGTCAGCTTTTTAGAATGGGAAGCAGTTAATTGTCAAGAGACTTTCATCGCAAGGTAATCTGCCTATTCCCAGAACAGGAAGAAGTTGTAAGTAAATGCACTGCAAGATAAATTTGTCAAATTACTTCTGTGAGCTATGATCATAACTTGAAGGGTAGAGAGAGGCAGAAGCAGAAGAAAAAAATGTGGTTAGATAGCCAAGAACGAGGCATACTGCTTCTGGATTCTAAAAGAAACAGGCTCCATTACGGATAGCATCTGGAGCTAAACAAGCCTAATCTTGCATGCAATCTTGTACAGCAAATAGCACGACTTGAACTTAAAAATGAGCCGAGGGCAATCTAGCTCTTTTTGGTTCAACTTTTGAGAAATTCATGTCGGTTACCTGAATCGAGTCCATAGATTCTTTCTGGGTTCGCTGCTCTGACACGTGGGAAGGCTGGTACATGGGCTGAGATGGTGTGTATGATTCGGTTGTGGAAGATACCAAAGGTACCTTAATGATGGGAAAGGAAAAAAGTGAAAAATGAGGTGTGTACTTCATGTACAACTCCAGATGGATAAAATACACTGGCTCTGCCTTTACCCTGTGTAGTCACCATACACCACTACACTTGCATGTACCCAACCGTTTGGCTCATTTACAGCAAAGCCTTCTTCAGCTGATTTAGAAAAATGTAACCATAAGGTCAAGTATGAAAATGAGAATATAAAACGAGCTGTAGAATTTCTAAACCTGAAATATTCCTGTAGAATGTCAATACATCATTTGGAAACGGATATGAAATGATACAAACAGACTCATGATTAAAAACAAATCAGATGTAATGGAAACCTTTCAGCAACAACATCCCAGCTTTAAATCTGAACAGATCGCAAGATTTAGAACCATAAGTTGTCCCAACAAATGTCAGAACACCAAAAGTGTTCCTAAGATTTGTGAAGAAAAATTCAAATGAAGTTCAGTTGCTTAAATTGTTAAAGCAGCAATACTTCCAAGGTTTCTTTTGTTGAAATGAAATCTTTAGAGAATTGGTTTGTGAGTTATTACAGCACAAAACAAGCTTTGCAAGTTTTTGCTGGAATTTTCTAATTTAGATGAGAAGCATCAGTGCCAGGTAATGGACCATTATTCAGGTTTTTAACATCAGAAATGACTTGCCTCAGGAGTGGTAGAAGACAGTTAAATACAAACCTGCTTACTCTAGCCCTGAAAGAACAGCTCCCGCACTAATCACAGGATAGGGTGGAAGGCCATGGACATGACTAGTGCTGGCGCTCAGTAGAGATTGGGTGCACGTGCTCAGATGCACGTGCAGAAGCCTCTGGTCTGCTTGAGGGCCGCGCCGTGCCCTCTTTGCCCTATCCTGTTGCAGAGGGCCGAGCTGTGGTCTCCTGCCCAATATGTGTGCTTCAGTGCTCAATATGTCACCTATTAGCCAACTTTTTGAGAGGGCAACTGCCACCATATTTCATCACAAATTACTGCCAATCAGAGTCAGGAACTACAAGTGAAGGTCATAATAATGGAAAGCGTCCACAACTCAAGCTCTTGCAGGAAACAGTACACTTCTGTCTCCAAAGTGGATTACAACAACAACAACAACAACAACAACAACAACAAGATTCCATTTATAAAGCGCCTTTCACGTCAGGAGGACGTCCCAAGGCGCTGGATTACTTAACGAGACACAAAATTAACCAACCTGCGTAACTTCCGACGGAACGGAGACAGCGTTGGACTGGGCATGTCTGGACTCAGAGTGCACTAATGAGGAGAAAGAAAAGGCAAGAAATGTTACGAAAGCATTCCACAATATAATATAATAACATTATATTCCACAATGCAAATAAAAGGCAGAACTAGAGATTTCCAATAAGGTAGTTTATCTATTTAATGACTCAAAATAGCCCCACAGGTTTAAAGTAGTATGATGATATTTCCCTCAACTTTCCAACACCCTGCCTGAACTCAACCTCTCATTACCCACCTGGTGTGCAGACCATTTGGGGCATTTCCATGGTCTGTGCAGGATTCATGGGCTGCGCTGAAACAATAGCAGGGTCCATTGTCTGACTCTCAAACTCAAGCATGGAATCCTATTGAAAAAGTACACACATATTCAAATAAAAGACTTAATCGCATTATATTAACATACTCATTACAGATTTTAAGATAATCAAATGCAAGTGTAAAAGTCCTTTTCAATACATTTGATTAAAGTGCACAATGCACTGCATTTACTCAAATCTAAGCCACAAGTTTCACTAAAAATCAGAGTTGGCCTTATAATCTATGGTGCTTCAAAACTGCAGTGAAATTGTTTTTTTTTAAAAAATTCCCCCAGCCCCCCCTACAATTAGCCTGCAACTTGATTCGGGAAATACTTTAGATTTGAGTAAACATGGTACGCTTAACTTTTATTTAACATTCGATCAGCCTACTTATATCACATGTTTTCAAATATAAAATTTATGGACTTTATTCCCTGCTGAAAAATTATCAGCAGCCCTTTGGCTACCATTTCATGTTAGTTTATCCCCAGTTGATTTTCATAGCTTTTCACTTCAATTTCTGCAGTGCCAGTTATGTGGTAAACATGCAAATTGATTTTGCGTAAAGGGATACAACGATGGCAACTGCGCAACAGTAGCATTAGGATGGTCCAAGGTTCAGTATCACAAATTCATTCCAATATCTGTTATCGACCTTGAATTTTGATTTAAATTCTTACACAAGATACATTAAGAGTGCATTCCTCAGCAATAAATCAACAGGTCTGCTCTAACCTGCTCATCCAGCTGCCCACTATTATGGAGCAGAAGTATTATTACATGCACAAAATCTTAACTAACATGGCATCTCAAAGACGGTTCCTGTTTTAATAGCATCCACCAAAACTGCAAGAGGTCGAAAAGATAGAACCTATTCAAACCAATCAAAACAGGACTTAACCAAAAGCTTGGTAAAATGCATAATATAGATTTCCAAGTAGGGACAAAATATTAATTGAATGATAAAACACGGAAACAGATCATTCAGGCAAACTAGACCATGCCAGTGTTTATACTCCACATGAGGTCCCATCCCTTTCCAAAGACCCTCTATCTCATATATTCATTTGTATCAAACCAATAGAAAAAAGAACCACTAGCGTGAGATTCAGGGAGAAAAATCCCAAAACGGGCTAATCTCGCCCTCATTCACAATTCAAAGGATCCATACTTCCCATGTCAGCCTGAATCTGAATGCCCCACAGACCTCTAGTCCTGCTCAGAATGTGGTGAAAGATCACCTAATACTTTTTGAGATAAAGCCAACAGTTATGTTGGCTCTTAATTCATCTCTATGTTTTAAAATGGGAAGAGGTGGAGAAAAATCACATTCAAGAAAAGCACTGAGACTTATGTCTTCAAGAACGACTGAGAAGGTAAACCATCTTCTGATACTCAGCGCTCTAGGAATGTGTTGTGCTGCAGTCAAGCAACCCCAGTATATTGATGCTTAAGTACTTTTGTCACACAGAAGAACACCTTAGAGCATATGAAAGCAAAAGATTAACTAGAGAAAATTAGAGCAGGCAACAGAGAATAAATGAGCCACCAAGTGAAAATACTCGATAGCTTTCCAAAATGTATAGTGCCATTAAGAAATTTACTTAGGAGTTTCACCCTGTTCCTGCAGGAAATTCACAACCCTTTCCAAGGTAAACACTATACAAGATCAAGATTATAATCAAACTTAAAACAACAGGAAAGTTGATTGAAAGTGCCAAATATCATGTCCATCCACAGTTACGCAAGCTTTGCAAATTGGGAAACTAAACAGTTGTGAGTGAGCATGCAGAAATATTCCATCAGCAGATCCTTGCAAGAAATCATAAAGTTATTATCCCATAGTTGGACAATTGCACTGAACCTTGGCATTACTAAATTACAAGCCACTGTCATCTTACATTTCAACCATAATAACCTGTCGTGTCTCAGTCCAACACAGATTTTTAAGGTATTCATATGAACATTGAAACAGGCAATTGTATGAACCAATTGTAAAGTATCAATTATACTTTAATTACATTTGATTGCCATGAAAAAGATATGAAAGATTTGAATTTATTAATCTGAACTCACTCAACAACATAGTAATTTTAAATGATATGGACAATATGCAATTATTTAATCCTAATCATAAAAGATTATTTCTCAAAATAAGGTTTCCAAATAAAACACAAAATGTTTAGAATTAAGTCGGCATGTCATTTTGAAAAATCCCTAGAATTAGCAATTTGATAGAACCCCACCCGTTCTCAATTGATCTTATCGGGGATACTTGCAATCATAAATTATCGAGCACCAATTGACAATTTGATCCTAAACACCACCAGAATAAGCAGATCCCATCCCCTCTTGATAGCCACACAGCAGAAGCAACAAGAATGATAATTCTGACCCATCTAGTCCCCTTCTCTAGCTGAGTAACAACATCAGGGGCCAAACCTGGGACAGACAACTTGCTCTGTATGCCCTAGTACCATAAGCAGTGCAATTACGCACTAAACTATCTGAGAAGCTGAATGATTTCCATTTCAAGATGGCTGTACCAGGCTAAGGAAAATGGTGTGGTGTGATTGGGGCTAAGTTAATATTGTTAGTTGGCTTGCAGTGAAACTAAATTCATCTTCTGCAGCACAAAGGAAAGTATTCAGAGCATTAAACTGAGATACTGATTGACACCGGCATTGTATACTTTAACCCTTGGATTAAGTTTAAAGTCCAAATTTTGCCTACCTGCATAAAGTTGAAGGTCCCTTGCATTTGTGCCATAAGATCTTGTACCCTCTGCCTCCTGACCAAAGGGTCTGAGGGTGCCACTGTGTTCAGTGCATGAGTTTCAGGTACTGTGGGTGGCTGCTGCTGCTGCTGCTGCTGCTGCAGGGAATTCACAACCTATAATAAGGGAAGGAAAAATGAATAAAAGACCTCTGCTATTCTATTCTCTTAGATCCGTTTGATTTGTTAAATCACATCCAGAACATGTACATGTCATAATCGAACCATTAATTTTGTGATGTATAGCCCAAAGCCACAGACATCAATTATCTTATCTGAACAAGCTAATGCACTACACCAAAGCACATGGAAGACCTCAATCCTTTTAACCACCACCTACACCTTTCGGCAACCAAGAATTGTTACCATGTCACAGAACAGTCTGTTGCTCAATAAGATGCCACATATCCCATCAGGAACCAGGTCATTCTTCACTCAGTGTAGTTAGCGAGCATCATCAAGTTATTCCAGTGTGAAGGCCATCCAAGGTGAATCCAATCCTGTTGTGACATCCTGACATGTGCACATGCCAGTAGGGATATAGAGTAATTAGCAGGAGAAATCCTTACTGTTTTTCCGCCTCTGAAGCATAAGGGTGCTAACATATTTGGAGCATCAAGTATTGCCCAGGTGAGATAATGCAGAAATGAAAAGTTGAATGTGTGCATTTGTAGGTATGGCTCAGCCATCATTGAAACACCATTCAAATCTAAGTGGACAGTATCCAACCTCCTCGTCCTATAGAGATCCTTTCACTGCTAATAAACTATTCGATTTCTTAATCTCCGTATACATAGGCATCCATTGCACTGTAATAAATACAGCTGCAGCCAAATTCAGTGGAGCGTGGATATAAAGATATAGTCTCTATGTCTGAAGCCCTTATATAAAGGACTTATATAAGCTGCCCTGGAAGCAAAACGCAGATGAATTAACAAAGAATTGCATAACCTTTCAATAATTTGTTCAAAAACTATCTGTGAAGGCTACTAAAGCTAACAATTCAAAAAAGTAGTCACTAAATCAGCAGTCTTGAAGAGCCTCTTTCCTCATGTGAGCCCTAGTCGTGAAGCTGATAAAGAAATCCAGCATAAACTCAGTACAAGAACTAATACTGCATAAAGCACGAACTGGAGGAGATCACATGGCTCCAGCTACTTGAACAGAAGATTTTCTGGGCAGTGTCTAAAGTTTCCCATGCTCAAATAACTATCTATTTATTCGTATTTGGAGGTTAAACAAATAAACAATGCAGCTTAGACTATAAATCTTGTGTCTAAAAACGTATTCTATGAACTCAATTCAACCTACATCTCTTGTGGAAGTTCTTTAAATTAAAAAATGTACTCCATCAAAGCTCCATTCAATCTTTTCTAAATAAAAGGAAGTTCAGATGGAAAACAATTTGGTACCAATATAAACTTTTTTTTAAATGCTTCAGTAATTTTGGATTTCAATCAGAACTAAAATTATAAAAGAATTTGCACATGTAAAGTTTGCACACTAATTGTTTAAAAATTATTGCAATCAAAACTATACTAATGCCATTGGCTATCTTGAGTTTCACCAAAGTTCCAGCCTTCATTAATTGGTTATAACTAATATCAAGTTCCCTTTTCTTACAAATATTCTTAACCTCCCCAGTTGCACCCCGACCAGGAATGGCCAGGTGAGCCATCTATTATGAAACTGCATTCTAAATTCAATTCTGACATTATATTGGCCTGCGCTGAATTTTGGATCATTGAAGAAGCATTTTGTCCTCTTGTTCAGTGCTTCCTCACAGCAGCACAGCAGAGTACGGGAAGTCAAATCATGTCCCATCTTTCCTGGATTTTGCATGCTTTTGGCTGGTCAAACTTCTAACCAGCCAATTAATCCAGATCTTTAGTTCACATGGGCAGCGGTGGAAATTCAGCTTTGATACAATCACCTGGTTTCAATGTTCATATGAATAACTTCTAAAAAAAAAAGTTTGCTTGGATTTTAGTAATTAATGTCCAGATTTTGTGTTAGATGTCCAACTGCATGGTTACCAAAAAAAATGGAAGCATTCCTTATCAATTGCTCAGTGGCAACAAAGCGAACACCCTTAATGAGATTTAGGTGCTAAAGATTCTTTCCTTTTTAAACCAAATATTACAATTATTGCCCAAACTAGTTACCACGACCAGATTAGAATCTACCCCATTGTCTCCTATTAATTAGTTACCTCAACGGGCTCTGCATTCCATTCATCAGCTTGCTCTTTCTGGCTGCTGCTGAACTGTGCCTCTGCAATGAACTGCCTGTTTACAAACTGGAAAACAAACTCAACATCAGTGATAAGTTACTACGAATGAGCTATCACAGGGGTGTAAAGCTATTGGTGCACGGCCACAGCAAATGTAACTTTGCTAATTAGGAAAGCAGAACATGAAAAACTCAACTGTATGAATGGCCTTTCTCATTCTTTGTTGAACCTCCACATACAATTAGCTACCCTTCTAGAAAAGAAATACCCAAGGACAGTTAACAAACTGAACATATAAGTCCTGTTACACTGGCCAAGTGATCTCCTCCTTGTTTGCTAAGCCCTCATTTTGGACCACACCCATTGGTTAGAAACAGGATCAGACTCTTGGGACAATCTGACGCAACACAACACGTTTAACCCAATTAGCTGTAAGCTGTACCAGTATAGATAGAGAAGAGCAAGCAGGGGTTTTGTTTGAACTTCAAGAATGGGAACCTCCATGCCATTAGCATGCAATGAACCAGCGTTTCGCATTCAACCTTCACATACAATTAGCATAGAAACAAAACAGTACAAATACCAGGACAATCAATTAAACAAGAGTCCGCTTTGAGCACTGCAGAACCAAACCTTGGTCACCCTGAGCTGTCAAGAGATCAAGACAATGAAAAATGCTCCAAGTGGCATTGAGAGAAATTCCCTGCACCAAACCACAATCAGACCAAACAAACTTTGTGCGATGGTTGCCGCTTCTCAAGGAACACATTCTATTCAGAATTTGCTGTTCTCGGTTTAGTCTGTTAAACACTCGATTCTGAGTATCAAACTAATTCTCCAAAATCAGGGACTCTTCCTCCCAAATAAAATTTTGGCATTAAGCATAATATTCCTCAAATGTTGCAAGATATAGTCCAATAACTGGCCTAGCCACACATCACACAAGTAGCTATGAGGCTGAAGGCCACCTTTTAAAAGCATCACGACCACAAAATAAAATCAGTAACAGTACATACACACATACAACGTGCCATAAAAACATGTTAATAAGCATAATATAATAAGCAACTCAATTAACACTGTGTGGCTTATTCACAATAGTGGAAAACATAGCATCTGGGAACAGGAGAAACTCACTTCTCTGGCTTCTACATCAGTTTGTTCCACATACTCTTCAATTGCTTCAGGTTCTAAAAAAAAGAACGGTTAAAATAATGAAACTTTTTAACCAAAACAATAATTTAATCAAACTATTACTTCATTAAACCTAAACCTGTGAAGCAATCACTGCAGAGGACTACATTTCATGAATGTCAATATCATCATCAAAAATTCATATCACGGATTCATTCCTGCAAAACGCACACTATTGCATAAGAGTACTTTGAGTCAACAAGTAAAGTTGTGCTTGTAATCACATTTAAATCCAAGTCACATCCATTTTCTGAAATTAAACGGATTGTGGGAGGAAAGTCCAAATGGGAGAACACCTTGCTCTTCTTCAAAGCAAGGCCACGGAATATTTCACATTAATCTGAAAAGGCTGCTGTTTTAATATTTTATCTGAAAGACAGGACCTCCAATAATGCCTAACTTTATATGCTCAAGCCGTGGTGTAAAACTGACACCATCAAGCTTCCAAACCAGAAGTGCTTTCAACTGAGACAAACGAGTTAAAAACTACATTTTCTAACTTTCCCCAGTGATGCAACAATCAAGCTACAAGACTTTTTTTTAAGTGGCAGAAGAGATTCTAACACTTTTGCAGCCTGCGATTATCAACACTTAAGAGTTCCTGATGATAACTGCGCCATCACAATGAGATCAGCCATCATTAAGAAATGCAGAGCAGAGACCAAGCATTTCTTTACGTGTTGAGAGGGGAGAAAGTGAAAAAGCCATTTGACCCAACTTGCTATAGAATAGTTATGGCAGATTCCTGAGAGCAGACTCCAGCCCCACAGGAATCTCTGAAAAAGAGATTTATCACAAAAAAGCATAAAACATAAGATGCCAGTTACACCAGAAAATGTAAAGTATACCTGGTTCTGGAGGCTGTTCCTCAGCAGGTACAGGGGACGGCTCTTCTTCTTCACACACTCCATTTTGGTGGTTATGCACGCTGTCAAAATAGCCACTGCATAGGAGTCGGTCAACTATTTCCTTCAGCTTCTTATCTGCAAAACATAAATGTTATTGGACATTCAGTTCTAAAGTATTTCCCATCTTATCAGTCCGATCTTTTCTTAAGATTTTCCTAAATCTTAGATTAGGCAAATTCTCCAGTACAACAACCAGAAGTTGGAATTAATTTATCGTGAAGTACAACTTTCTAGAAATAGAAATTGCTCTTCAAGTGAAATAAATACTACAACACCCATATTAGCATGATGAGCTGCCATTATGCTAAAAAAGCACAGCTAGTGTGGAGAAAATTTTTTCTGGGGGCGGCTGAATTTAGATTTACAACAGGAGTCTTGTAGCTCAGTGTTTAGGGCACTCGTCTCGCAAGCGAGAGGACCTGGGTTTGATTCCCGGGGAAGGCAAAACATTGGACAAGTTTCCTTACTCCACACGCCTCTGTTTACCTAGCTGGGAAAAAAGTACAAAAATGTATTTATTACTCACAGGTTGTACCCCCAACCGCCTTGTCTCTTCCTTCCAGTAGGTCCCATAAGTGCACTGACGATTGTTCAAACTGTTCACACAGCCTATAAATAAGATGATTTAAGTATTACCAAATTACCAAAAGGTAATCAAATATACCTACAGAAAAAAGTAGTAATTTAATACTAATCCTGCATCCAATAAATGCTAGGTCTTAGTATGCATTACATTGAATTATTATACATTTCTCAAGGTATTGAGTTGGTTAAAATTTCTATCCGTTCGCAAACCATCTGAATACAAATTGATCAGTTACCTGAGTAATTAGCTAAAGTTGTTCTGATTGGATTAATTAAAGCTACTGTCAAGCGCTTTGGAAGTTACATGGAAGGGCTATAAATGCAAGTTGTTGTCGTGGTTTTTAGATTCAAGGAAAACCAGATTAGTGTTGAGCAGAGCTACATCGCGTATCGGAACCAGAGGGAAAAAAGGTTCATCAATTTTGCAATTTGTATGGCCAGCACTGCTACCAATAAGAGACAGCAACTGATAAAAATCCATTATTGCACTAAATTATTACCTGAGGTTCATGTCTCGTTCGGGTTGTACCAACTTGTAAAAATCATCCACCAGTGTGAGCTCCTCTTCGGTAAGGACAAAAGATCCATTCCAGCCTTGTTTCAAGTCGTTGCGTGTATCATCATCACCCAATTTGTCCAACACATACTGTAGTTCAAGCACCGTTTTTAGCCGCTTTTGTTCTACTTCCTCTCTCATCAATTGTTCCCGACGAGCTGCCTTCTTTAAGGATTTTTGGATCTGTACAAAAGCAGAAACATTTTTCAGTCTCGGTGTTTCACAATAAGTCAAATAATTGGAATTTTCAGAATTCAAAAAGTATTGTTTTATTTAGCATGAGGGATAGGCAACTAATACGGCTACTTCAATGACCCAGGCTTCAAAAAGAGCGTGGAAGTATATGAATCAGACAGTTTGTCATCTCCAAAGCACAAACCTCACATTACGTTTGGTTTGTGCCAACACCATGCAATACTTATTGCCAGGGATAAATAATCCAACAGAAATTAATGTGAAGAACCAAATGATGCTGCAAAGAATTTATGGCAAACAATCTGTTGCCAGCTCCAGGAGAGAGAAAAAAAGGGATAGTAGAACAAGACTATATTCAACAGAGGTTGGAGAAACCACACGAATATAGCAATTGCACATTTTTACAGCTTTGAAAAGAGATTAGTATTGCAATTGGGTAGATATAAATCTATTCTAAAATGCCCGTAGCTGGCATCCCTTGGATACTTACATCTTGACCTAAAGCAATGAAGCTTCGTTGCAATTCACGAGCAAATTCCAGATTGTTCGCAACTTCTTGCAACTTTCCAACCGCTTCCTACAAATTAAATGAACAACGATTTTTAATATTTCAATAAATATTGCTTGCAAAAATATGTGGTCTAGCCAAATCTTAACCGCAGTTAATTTTCTAAAGTCCTTGCTAGGTAAGCCAACGATGATAATCTTAAAAAAGGCAGCTCTTACTAAACTTGTAAAGATGTGAAGAAATAAAAAGTGAATTTAATTCTATTGCTGTCTATCCCATAGGATTACACGAAGGAGATGTTGAAATTGCTCAAGAAAGCACAAGTCTGATACTACATAGCTGAAGTTGCAATAAAGTTCATCTGAAGGAAGTATGCTTAACAGTCAAGATATTAATTAAAGCATCCAATCAAATACAAAAAATACCTTCTAGCTCCCTGGTAAAAATGGGTCTTGGTTGGGACATAATTGCATACAAAACATCTCACCACTGAGCAAAAACATTTTACAAAAGATTGTTCTCATTGAAATTACAGGTCCCAATTGTAAATCACAGACTGGGATTGATGGTAGCTGGGAGTGCATTGCCCAGATTGTTTTAACCCTCCCTTTAATTTCCCACAATTTTCTGAGTTACATGATAGAATAGCAGAATTTTAATTTATACACGTTATTTTTCTGAAACAATTTAACAGGCAATGAATGACAACTTTTCTGTTTCAATTATAGATTCAGTAACACTCACCAATTGGTCTTGGTTTAGGGCTTCTCCTCGGTCAAGTCGTTCTTGGTAATCATCCAGCTTGGCCTACAATTAAATACAAGTTTCAAATTAAAATGCTGAAAGTACCACTTAAGCATGTAAACTCAAAACCTCGGAATAGTCCTTCCTAGCACTTCTTTATTTTCACCTATTTGCAAATACAGTGATGAAAAAAGAAGCCACCCTCTTTAAAAGTAAAATATTGCAGATAACTGACTGCAGATTAGTACGCAAGTACAAAACTCTATTGAACTCCAATTAGCTTTGTCTCAACAGTGCATGGCACAAGATAGATACAAGGATCACGGAAAAAATCAACGAGGAGCAGAAATCCAGACAATAGAGTACAACTCACTCATTTTTCTTCTATTTCCCCATTAATGTAATCATATATAGACACTTATTAAATTGTAGTCTACGAACATGTTATTTACATTGTTTGCCTTGAAATAATATACAAGTTTGTGTTTGAGCACCAAGTGTTCAGGAAGTAAAGAGTACTTTGAAAAGTCCTACAATATTAAGGAGTGGGAGGATACAAAAATGTGAAACCAACACTATTGTAGTTCAGAAAACTCAATAAATGCATCTCTTTTCTCAATATGTACAAGGGTCAAGCTATTCTCTCCGGTACTGCTACAAGACAAATGGAGAATGTAATTTTCCTGACCTCATACAGCATTCACTTTTGAGAGATTGGTTTCCTCTGGCTATTTTAAAATGCAACTTAGTCATGCTAACCTTTGTAAATTAGATGGTGCATCAAATATTGACAAAGCTGAACAAATCAGGAACATATAAAAATGCCCAGACTTCAAAATGGGGTCAAGGGGTAACACAAGTAGTCAGAAACTGACTTTTTATGATTAAAAGTACGTACTATTTTAAGCTTTAGAAAAAGTTATTCTAAGTGGTGACATCGCACAAATATTATTTACAGTTATTTAAAATGGGTATTCATTATCCAATATTCAGTAATACATCATGCCAACTTAAGTAACTGTGATGATCTTTACAGATCACACTTCCATGTATGGTACAGTGATACAATGGCTAAGCTTGGGCTGCGGATACTCGCAGAACCATACCAAAACAACAGCCAGTACCTTCAGAACACAAAAAAGAAATTTATAGTCCACACACATAGTGTGTTTTAAGACTTTCTCCTTTCTTCATTGAAAGTTCTCTGCCAATCCCCACAATGGCTGAGATATGTTGAGGAAAAGAAATAGTTAAAAGAGCTGGTATTCATTCAGTAATCTCCTATCAGATAAATGTTCCTTTTCAGCTTTGCTTCCATGTAGATTCAATCATGTGCTACAAATAAGAGAAAGTTGGTGCTGTGTACAGTAAACCACTTATTTAGAGGCCTCAGAGCAAAACGTAATCACGAGACACAATGACATCAAATGGTCTGACCTAAAATGTTAACTGACCTTCCTCTCTCCGTAGATGCTGCCTGACCTGCTGAATGTTCCCAGTGACTTCTGTTTTTATTTCAAATGTCCTGATGTTGTTTATCAACCAGAGCAGTGGTTGAAGGCAAGGAGGTACCCAGCAACAAAACTGGTTCAGTCACATGATCCTCCAACAAGACTAACATGACCAACATGATGTGTAGGTTTTAAAGCTTCAAACTGCATGGACGAGTTGTTCCACGTTGCTGCCCATTCTGTGGATTCCACCTCACAGTGTAAAAAGGGCAGGATGCTAACATCACATGCCAGTTCAGAACCTGTTTTGTAGGTTTTGTAGAAACTTCTAGAACTCTGAAGATAAACAAGGCAAACCTTTCAAGGTCCTTCAAAGCGCTTCACATGAAATGCTGTGAAGCAGCAATTTGAGTAGTTCATTCCCAACGTTTTTAAAGGTACAAAGCTAGACTAGTAAGTGGCATGTTCAACTACACCTTGTATTTCCTTCCATAACACAATTTTAGTACCTAGAAATGCAATTTTAGAAGAACTTTTAAAAGAATTTTGGACAAACAAAAATACATGGCCCCAGAAGAGATCGACATTCATTCCAAATGTATTTAAGCTTCACAAGTTAAACGCAACGCTCCATCTTCCTAATTTCCCCAAAAAATTGTGGTTCTGAAGGATTATACTCCGCCATACAATTCACCTCACCATGTGAGAGAAAGATTTGGGATAAGAAAAAAAGGCATCACTATTAACTTTGTGCCTGTTTGGATGGCATTAATTGTACTAGAGTTCCACCTATGGCAATAGAAAGAGCATTCATTTCCAACAGAAATCATTCTTAAGAACTCTCCAAATATAACTAATTTAACAAAATTATGAACAGTTTGGGTCCAAGCTCATGAGACGGACCCGAGACTATAAATGATGCCCCTTTAATGAATACAAGACCATATTTTTTTTTAAAAACACAATAAATTGATTTATACCAATTACATTTTTGAATTAAATTTACCAAAAGATTGAAGAGAGAATAAAATGTGGTATTCTCGTGTCAGCTTTCATGCATTCTTTTAATGGGGGTAGGTGGACGTCTAATATGTGGAAACCCCTTAGAACTCTCTTGCTCCAGAAAACTTGCAGCAGTATTTGCATTTACCAGTTATAATAATCCTTCTGCTGGAGACATGAGGTACTTGTTTGGAAGAACACAGGCACCAGTTGGAAGAATCCAAGACATAAGGTACCCCAAAATGCACAATGGTTACTTCTGGAATTCACTACAACCTCACAGTTTATAAGTACAAGGCACTTGGAGCTTTCATTTGCTTTTCCAACTAGAACTAACTTATTGGTTAGCATACTGGGATTTAAGTGGGAAGAATCCCAATTTTCAAGCCAGGAAAGCTTGTCAATTGTCAACAGACAAATGTTTCAGCCTCTTGGTTTCAAATCTCATTTGCACATTCCTGAGATTTCTGTACAATATGCCGAACTGTGAAATTAGTGAACACGACACACTCTCCATCTGTAGTGGAATACAATACGTTTTGACATCAGTAAAATACTCTGGCATACAGCAACACCAAAACTCCTCACCACATGCAAAATTACAACCTTGCAACTCAGCCAGCAACAAGGACATTTAAAAAAGGCATGTGGTTACTAAGTGACACTAAGAGAAGGATTTGCACATTAGGAAAACACCATCTATAACAGAATAATGTTCCTAACAAAGTATGTAAGCAAAATTAAAGCTTTGCTGGAATCACTATATCTAACCACCTCAAGCCTAGAAATGAAATGTGCCTTAGGTTATTGCTGCTCACACATCTAAATAAAAATCTTGTCATAATATTAAAAAGATAATTTCAATCAATCATTCAGGAATATGAATCCAGAGCAATGTTACTGTAAGGATCTCTTTACAAAATTTTCTACATATTCTAACTGGTATAAATCAGTTTCACTTCCCTGAAAAAAATCTGTTACATCAATTGATGATCAGAAAAATATACATCAACAAAAAAAACTGTTGCACAGAACAATGTTTGATCCAATCCAGCTAGCAATCAAATTCTACACCAATGTCAGACCATTGCAGAAAATGCACATATTTCTGTACTTGGTTAGCCCCTTAGATTATTTTAGAAATAACATACATTTAAAAAATCACTAAAGGATTGTGATGTGCAAGCAATCAACCATTAAAACAAGTCTTTAAAACAACCGGTACATGGCAATTTGTGACAGAAGATCATACATGATGCACTTCTCTATACATTGCCTAATCCTGGCTTCAATGTAATTAATGCCCATTCATTTTTCAATTTGGCAAGTCAGCATTCAGTCATGAACAAAGCTCACAGCTCGGTCTCTGAAATCCATTATTCATTCATTCTATTTGGCCCTGTACATCATCAAGTCCATCTCATCTGAATAGGTTCTTCTACCAAAAAAGAAAATGTTAGGCATAGTTCTATATACCCAGTAGCATGAACATATTACCCTTCAAAAATACTGGGTCCTTATCCACCACAAACAGCAAAAATAAATCTTTGCAGAGCAGAGATAAAACAAAATTGTAACAAATACCCCTATGGACAGCATTGTTTTTCCGTACACAAGATTGGATAAAAAAATGGCATTGGCTTAGCTCAGTTAGTGAGACTTTTGTCTCTGGATCAGATAACGGCTTCAAGTCATACATGCCAGTCATGGAGGTCACTGATGATATTATCAAAGATGATGGCTTTCGGATGGGACATTAAAATTAAGAGCCTGTTTGAATTGTGGGAGTAGCAAGAAAGCCAGACCTCACTGTGGCTAAGGTGGCTCTGAGAACACATGGCCAGCAAAATTAGACAGGTTCACACTAATTATAAAACAAATTGGGAGTTGACCAGCTAACTTAGAAGCCAGAAAGCTGTTCCAAAATCTGCACAGCAAAGCCCAGACAGACACAGTCCTACAAAGTTATTTCATTAATCCCCTCTTTCTTAAGTGTTGAAATTAAAATGTATGGCCCATCTCCTCATCTTACATTCTTTTCTTGGACACAAATCCACAATGTACTCATACAATCCTTAAAAAGTTTGCCACCACCTAACATTTTTTTCTCTGTTACTCTTTTCAATCTTGGTGGTGTCTTGCACTATGGGCTCCGTACTTTATCGAGGATCTGGATTTTAAAAAGTATGTATGCTTCATGTGAACTACACATCCTTTATCTGGAATAATACTGATAGTTTTCTTGTAATACCAAGAATATCTGTGAATATCAAATTTGTCTGTTTTTCTTGAAAAATTAGATCCATTTTTTGGAAGATGTTTCATTATTTGTGAAATAGTGGGACCTAAGGAATTGTAAGACTGCCCTTTGGCTCCAATTCTTAGTAAGATAATTTGCTAAAATCTTTCATTTAAATTAATGGAACAAAAGACCATAACAAAAAAATCGGTTACTTTCAACATGAAATAAACCTGTTGAATAAAGAATAGCTGGAAACGAAACCTGGGATAATCCCTTTAAAATTATTGTAAAGGGTTCCTTTCCTGACGTCACCGTTAAGTTATTCAATGGATAAACTGAGTCAAAAAGATTATAAAGGTCCCAGGTTC